CTCCATTAAGCTAAACTTAAGTACTGGTAACAGAAACATTGCTTCTGGAAGGCACTGAGTTCTTATTCTGATGTACTTTGAAGCTTTATATATGAGAGGTGTTTGGTCAAGTTGTTCAATTTTATTGTGTCAGGTAAGGATGGTCTAGTGTCTAGAGGAAGTTTGGTGTTTGAAAGTCCTGGCTTCAGTTTTATGCAGGTTTCTTTGTGGCTCAGGCACCATCTTCTAGCCTGTACTCCTCTTGCAGGCTTATTGAAGATAAGTACACAGAAGACTGGGGTTGCTCACACACCGCAGTAATGGAGACTAAATAGGTAACAAGGTTCTAGATTTGAGGGGGGGGATGAGCAAAAACTTCTTAGTCCAGCAATGGATATTTCACCATCTAAGTTTAAATCTGCATTATGAACACAATTGTTGGGATTTCTGGGATCACAAGGCTATCAGTTTCTTGTGAAGAAACGTGTGGAACTTTAAAATTTGGACTCGTGTAGTAATAGCTTTCTCTCATTTATTTTTAGTATTATATACTTAAGAAGTAAGGTCAGCCTTAGTACAATCCCCTGTTAGGTTCTAATTTTCTAGTGTCTTTACTACACAGTAGCAAAGCACTTTGCAGAGAGAGGTGAGGGTAAAGAAAGGATAGCTTAATTGTAACCTAGGGCAATTCAGAAGCAGTTTAATAATAAGTGCTTTTTCTAAGACGTGCATACCAAAGAGAGGCTTGTGCATTAGAAAATACACCCACACTTTACAGGTTTGAACTGAGCTTTCTTGTGTGTGCACTTTGTTAGTCAGGAGTGTCAAGCGCTTTATTCTAATTACCTTTTGATTGTTTTGAAGAACACAAATGTAACGTGAAATACTGTAATCAGAGTAAAAACATCTACAAAAATATTGGCTGAACTAGTATGATGAATGCCAAGGGAATGAATTCTGCAGCTGGAATATAAAGCGTGTAGGGCCATAAATCGGAACGTATGACTTGACATAGCATGTTGGAACCGCTCATAAATGAGCACTGGGAATAAAAATAAAATTGTGTCGTTAATAATTAATTTATTTTTTTCTAAAATTACCTCATTATCCCTCCCCAATCCAGTAAATCACTGAAATGGTTTACCTCTTTAGAATGGTACCAGCGTACATTTCTATATCCTGGAAAAATGAAGGCCTGGCAAGGGAGAAGCAGCCTATAAGATGTAAAAGCACTGCCCAGCACGCTGACTTTAAACACTAAAACCTCCCAGTTGGCCACCAGCTCTGCAGCAGCAATGCTGCCTTTAGTTTTTTTGGCCTTGTCCCAGCACTTTGCCTTACTGGGAGCTGCGCTCTGTTGCAGCCTGGGCTGAGACGCGTGTGGCTGAAGCCCAGTGTGCTCACACTAGTGGTATGCATCTGTGTTGGTGCTAGCACTGAGGGGGAGGCTCCCTTCCTGCCTCCTTTGCTTCCTTTCTTTGCCCATGTTGGATTTTTTTTTTTTTTTCATCTATATTGCAGCATGTTGTCTCTTTGAAACTGGTCCACGATTTGTGGCTTCTTTTGGGAGATGTTGCTGCTGCCAGGTAAACTGGACTTCTAGATGTTCTACCTAAACTTCCCTTTTCCTTCTTTCAGTCTGTTACTGCTGATTAGAACGCTCTTCTTTAGTAATACAAATATTATTTTTCAGTCCTTCCCCCATGTAAATCTGTTGGATTGCATGTTGTTTCCTTGTAGCTGCTGCCTGGCTAAGATTTAGATAGCTGTTTGGTTTTGTTGTTTGTTTGGGTTTTGTTTGGTTTTTTTTTTTTATTATTTAAGATCTTTCTTTTCCCTTTTAGTACTCCTTGTTGCTATATCTGACCCCTCTCTCTCATTTGTCCCTTAGTTTTTCTCATAATAGTGTGCCAGCATTTATACAGAGCTAGATTAATGCAGCATTCTTTTGTAATGTATTCACTTTATCACATTTTTCTACGGTGTTTTATCTACCTTTTTAATTTTATCATTGCTATGGTCTATATGAACTTGCTCTTTAGAGTTCTGATTTTATTTTAAATACCTAGGGAGATCTAATAGTCCCTCTAATAACCCATTAGCTTGAAGTGTTATTTATCTGTACCCACTTTTATAGTTCTTCGGGAAGCTTTCATATGTAGCTTATACAGTTCAGTAATTGCTTCACTATTTGTTTCCTTTGATACCTTTCACATATATATATATATTTTTAATTAGAAATGTGGTGACTGATACCAGTTGTAGCTGAATTGCTGAAGTTGCAACTTCAGTTAATGTCCAGGTAAACAAAATCAAGGCTTGCTTGGTATCTAGACAGGAGAATTACAGGAGGTAAGAAATGGATCTTGTTGCTTAAAAATAAACACTTTCAACACCGCCTGCCACCATTTTTTATTTTTAAAGTCATTGTTGGTCCTGTGCTCCAGCCTGGAGAAACACTGTGTTGTGTTTCACTGAGTAACAGGAAGTTTATATTGATCCTTCATGCACATTAGCTAGTAAGGAGTTCAGTAATTACATATTGGCAAAATTCCCGTTGGGATGACTCTGTTTTCTCCCCTTGAGGTTCTGAAATATCAAACGGAGACAGAAGTTTTCATTTCCTGACATTCTGAAGTGCAGTTATTGTAGACTTTGAAGTGGAAGATATTAAAAATGGCTGGTGGAAGTGAAAATCTAATTGCTATACTGCCCTCCTGGTGATAAGCTGTAAACGAAAACAGCACAAGATTGAAGTTAGTGGCCAAACCAGCTGATTCTGTGTAGTTGGGTCTTCTGAACAATCATGAAATGCCTGTATTTTGAAACGTCAGCGATACAAACCTCCTCTGGGTTCCAGCTTAGTTATTATCGACTGATAATATATAGCATATGCTATATGGAAACTTGTTGGATTTTTTTCATATTTATTCCTCTGTTGATACTTACAATGCTGTGATAGGTAAGCTATGAAGTACTTGTATCTTAGCAAGGACTCTTGTATTAGGTTTGAATAATTTTCTTATAAGAAAGTACTTTAGATTCTTCTTCAATCTTTAAGCTGTTAGGCCATGTACTACTCCAGTTCAAATCTAATTTCCAAACACGTTTTTGTCTTTCATTGTTTCACCTTATCTGGTGCTGCTGGGCTACAGGAATACTCTTTTTATGTCTTTTTTCTTTTTTTTTTTTTTTTTCTGTTATTCTCTGTGTACATTCATCTTTCATTTCATATCTAGAAGATCCTTCCTAGAGATCCTTCCAAGAGAAAAATCTTTCTTTAAAAGAGAGGGTACCTAATGGTAGATGGCAATGCTTTCAAATGTGCCTGACTTGTGTTGCTTCACAATTTCTTTACATTTGGTAAACCCTCTAATAATGAACAACTAGCAGCGAACAACTGTGTACTTGGGGAAATGAAAACTTTATGAAAGTAAGGCCCTTCAAATTTGTGTACTCTGTAACTGTACCAAGCTGTCTGTATAACAGCAAGCAGTATATTGTGCCCATGTTTGCCGTAAATACTATTTCCTCTTTGAGTTTTTGTCTTTGAGGTGGTCAATCATTGTACAGATCTTTGTGCGTTTATGATAAGACGCATATTTTTTTAGGACTTGAAGATGACTGAATGTACATGCATCGTAAAAAAGACTTGTTGGTTTTGCTGTTGTAGAACAGGGTGCAGATGTGGTTTAACACTCATACAGCTGTCCTTCCTGTAGACAGAGGCCTGTTGAAATGATGTTTTGCATAAATTTGATTTTGCTCTGGTACCCATATGGCATTCTCTCAATGAATAAAACAGTATTTTGAAACAATGGTTTGCATTTAAACAGGCTTGAAGACTTCTATGAAAATTTGTAAGGTCAATCACACAGTCTACATTTATCGTGATCAGACATTAATTTAGCACTTTACCTAGTATCTTTTTAATCTTTGTGGACATAGTCTGTTTTACTACTGTGGTAGGCCACCACATCGTGTAATCTGGTTCTTGAGTTTACTGAGCTTCACCCTGAAAGCAGGTGGGTTCATCGTGCTGCCCATTCCTGTTGGGAAGCAGTTGTAAATATCTCCTCTTCAGTGGGAAGCTTTCCTGTTAATTCTAGCCCACATTTATTAAGGGTCAGTATTATCCTTTAGTTCACATCGCTCCCTTTCGTCCTTGGCATTTACCCATGGTATATTTACAGAGCACAGTTTTATTCCATCCAGCTGTTGTTCTGTTAGGCTAAGTGAGCTAAGCAGTTTTCGTCCCTTCTGATGTTGTAAGCTCCTGTTCATCACTCCCATCTGAGTGATGCTTCTCTGCACCTGATGAGCTTTCTCTTCTCTTGTATCAATAACTGGAGAACAGTGTATTCTACTGTTGGCTTGCATGAAGACATTACTGTTTTTCCTGCCTCTGCTGGAAATAAATTTAGGGAATTTGGTGCCAACAGTGGTGGCTTATGGTCAGTCACTCATCTGCCTCTTCAAGTGGATTATTTAGAATAAGGATTCATATTCGCATTGAAAGGCATGTTCGTGACCATCATATTTAATCCCATTCCTGTCATTTCAGTCCGTGAGTTCATTCAGTTATTCTTCTGATAATCTAGTTGCCTTTCTGTTGACAGACCTTCTGATGATGAAGTGCTGAGAAAGCAGTCTTTGGTCAGTAAGGAAAAATGAGATCATTCTGTGGACCAGTATTCAAGGAATCCAGTATTGAAGGTCCATCCATGTGCATTCATCTAATTTCTGATATGCTGTATTTCTTACAGGCGTAACCAGTAATCTCTTCTTTAATTATTTTGCATACTTTCTACCTCATGCCTTAGTTGCAAATTCTCCAGTCTCTGGTTTGTCCCAAGGAGATCTGCTGCCTTTTTTAATCTTTTTTTTAAAAAAAAAAAAAAATCTGGTGAAAAGGGAAAATATTAGGTCTCCTGACAGTTCAACAAAAAAAGTGAAACAAGTTTTGAAGGAAATACATAGTGAAGTTGAAAATAGGAAAAAAGTTCATTAACTTTAGAGTTATGGGTATGTAGTTGTGTCACCTTTTCCTTCTTTCTTGGTATTGTTTGCTAATCTCTGTGCATATCCCACTGCCGTTTTTTGATGGAATTAGTAAAAATCTCTTTTAATGAATTTATAAGCTGTTCTATGTGAGGATAATCCTGTGAAGACTGGCTAGACTTTTATGAAATACGCGCTCCTAGGGACCTTGGGTTTGAAAGAGGCCTTGTAGTTTTTGTTCTTGAAAGAAGTAATTTTGCAAGCAGAACACCAGAGGACTTCATTGTTTCCCCACCCCCATTTCCCTTTTTAAAAAAATCTGCACAACTTTCAATAAGTATGTTTTGCAAATAGGCTTGCTTAATTCATGCTATAAATGTTCTGAATAATATGGGCCAAAAAGTGCAGAAAAGGAGTGGCAGGAATTTACAGCTAGATTAGGTCTACGGTATTTCCTCTCTCAGCAAGATGGTCCTAGATTAAACACTCGTAAATTTTCCATAATTTAACATAATTATAGCTTTACAGGAAGCGTTGAAACCTTCTCTTTCCTACAGAAGAATCTGTTTTCTACATTCTTACATCCATCTGAAGTCTCTTATCCTACTGCAACTCTCTTCTGAAGTCACGTGCCTTCCCAGTTGCGGATAAACATCATGGGTTTTCTTTTGTTCAGCATTTTCATATTTGGATTTTTGCCAGATTTTTGACAGTTTCATAACGACATGACCTTGAACAGTGATATTTATATAATGGCTAATAACTTCGCTTGAAACTGGGCATCATTAAGAACTGCTTTAGAAAGCAAAAGATTCACTATCCAGACTACATGGCCTTTACTATACTTTTTGAGGCTGGATGACTTCTTTGCATGATTTGTGGGAGGACGTGGTCAGTGTACCACACAATAGTGAGTTTTAGTGGATTTCTTCCAAACCTGGTCTCCACTGAATCACTGCCCGTTGCAATGCTGAGGGAATGCGGTAAAAGGTTAATGATTCCCCAAAGAAATTTAAGCATGAAAAAGGCCTTTTATATCGATATAAACTTGTATGTCTCTGCAGAGCTGTTTTGATTTCAGCTGAGCTGCTTTTACATGGAGGAACTTACTGCAGAGCTGACTAGAGGAGTGAGATCTCTAGCACATCTCTGGTTTGCTTGTTATAACTTGGTGAAATTCATGGTTGTGCAGATGATGTTAAATCAATAAGTGATTTAAAGAAGGTCTCAAAAGAGATGCAGTTTTTAGCTGGTTGAGAAGAATGTCTGAAACTGAGATTTGAATCCACTTTGTGAGAATTTAGAAGAGCTAACTTCTTAAAGATAACTAGGAATACTTCTGCTTTATGTGTTCTGAAATAACCTTTCTTCCATTCAGGTTTGAATTTTCTGTAAACCTATAAAATATGGATTTCTGTTCCCAGAGGTGCTGTCATACTTTGGGGTTGTATGATCATAGTTTAGTAGTTTTGCCTTTTCTTTGGGATGGATCCTGAGAAGTAAAACTCCTGAAAAATTGTCTGAATCACTCCCCTAATTCAAGCATGTCCTGCTCACTCTTGTTCATTGTTTTAGAAAGTGAAACTCTTCTGAGATTTTCTGCTGAATAAAAAAGCTAGAACTAGAATGATTTTTGGCCTCTCCATAGCCTCATACATTGTATTTTTCATTGAGATATTTGGAAATTGGAGTTTCAGTTTTATATATATTTAACTAACTGATGGTGTGTGAAAGTGTGTGGTTTAATTTATGTAAGCAACATTCTGCCTTTTTTTAATAGATTTGCTCTTTTTCCCAAATTGCATGTCATTTTATTCCCATTACATAATCTTTATGCTCAAAATTGTGATTTGTGGTTAGGCTGAAAAGCTGAATCTGCATCCCTTCTGCTGAGAAATGTACCATTTCCTTATGGTACTTTCCCTTTAAACTTCTCAATATTTCATTGTACTTTTGCACAGGCCAGGACAGTTTGAAAAAAAACCCCATCTAAATCAGACCGGGAGAGTAGTCTTAATGGAAAAAAAAGGTTCCTCCATGTTCTCCAGTGCTGGAAGAATTGTCATGGCCCCTGGTATCAGAGCTGAGCTCTTGGCTTGTTCTTGCTTTCTCCAATCTCTGCAACATGTGTTATTTCTTTGCATTGCATCCCAGCTTCAGCAGGAGGGATGGAGAGCAGTGGTGTCTTGCCGAAGTTCAGGCTCTTGGTAAGCTTTGACAGTTGCCTCTCATGCCAATCAGTAGTGGCTTCTGACTTTTTGCTATTCCTTATTGTGCCCTCTTAGAGTCTTTGGTTTTATGCTGTGATCTGTGATGTAGCATCCCATCCGGCTTGGTCTGTGTGTGTGCTGTGAGTAGCACACTAGTAGCAAAGGTCGAACTGGTTTCATTTGGGAACGAGTCACCTTAAAGTATCTGAAGGGAGTGCGGAGAAGAGAGTTCCAAGAATAGGTTTAAGAAAAATCAAACACCTCTCTTAAAATATCAGGCTTGAACTATTTGGGGCGTGTATCTGCTTAAGGAATCATGTTTTAATTCATGAGCTGTGCGGTCAAGGTAACCCTGGTTTTCTGCCTACTGCCAAGAAAGTAAGCACCATCTAAGTCAAACCTTTTAGTTAAATTAGTATTATATTACTATCCACATATGTGAAAAAGTCAGAAGAGTTAAAATGTTCTTAACTGTGTTGTACCAAAATTTAGCTTTGTGTTATGTGTAAAAGCAGAAGACAACTTCCAGAAGGGTGTAGCTTTCAGGATGAAGACTATTGAACCTGTCTTTAATGCATGAATGGAGCTTTATTTATTTAAAGTGCATAGTACCCAATCCTAAATCTCTGCTTTTTGTTTCTGTCCCACAGGGAACACAGTGAGTAACCTGATTTTCATTCTACCTCCAATCTATGGTGCGATTCAGACCTATAAAGATGGCCTTGAAAAACGGTATTTAGCTGCATATTTTTGTCTTGCAGGTATGTGTAAAACTTAATTTGCTCTTTCATTATAAAGAGAGGTCAGATGTGCAATGAATATCCAAATATTAATAAACTAAGTACTTAAATCCAAATACTATGTGTGTGAAACATAAACCCCAATTTGTTATACTTGTTAATATTTACAAAAACCTGGTATTTGTTGGAGGGACGTGAAGTTAGAATTCACTGAATAACTTTATGAGATTTTAATGTGATCTTTTTCTAACTTTAAGTCCTGTTCAGTGCATCTTAGCTTACTGTGTGCTTTTGTGATGATTTACAGAAGATGTCTTAATTGTCCTACTTTCAAACACTTCCACACTGTATTAATATTTTTGTGACATTACAAGAAATGTCCAAGATCTTGAAGGAACTGGAAAAGTATTCTTTCATGAGTTTGAATTTGTTTTCAGTTTGTCTTTGGCATATATCACCCAACAACCTAACTGCCATTGTATCTGGACGTTCTGCAAGGGTGGAAGAACAATGGGATATTTGTACATGGGTGAACTGAAGGGTGGTCTCTTTTTTTTTTTTCTGAAACAGCAAAATCCAAAAAGAACCAACTTCCTTTAAAACTTGAATTATGCAACTAGAAGTTGTGTTCCTTATGAGAAAAGATGATGCTTGAGGATAGTTCAGTTTTGGCAGTTGGGTCTTGAAGTAGATTTTGCAGAATTTGTGTTTCACAAGATTTCTATGTTTGCTACAGCTCCTCTCTCTTTGGAGGCTATCTATCCCCATCTTCTCAGGGTATGAAATTGGTTTATTGTAGATATTACTTTTAAGATTGGCAAACTTAAGTATTTGGACAACCATTGTTGAAAACCACACGTCCATATGCTAAAGGTATTCTTGAATCCAATTAAACTGTAATATACATTAAGAACAACTTTGTGGTTTTTCAGTTATGTCAGCTTTGCTGGTATGTGTGAAAGATAAGCAGCAACAAGGTACAGCTTTGGATGTTGTCTGAACACTTCCCAAATAGCCATTTGTAGGCTTTTTGTGGTTTTGAGTTTCATTTTTGTCTCAGTTTGGCAGAAGGAATTCCTGAAGGTCAGGGTTCCCTTTTAAAAAAGGAAAGAAACAGTATGTTAGCGTTTGCTGAAGTTGAGTCTTTGCATGTTCTTGGATCAAAATATCTTATGCTGCCATTTTTTTCTAAATTAAAAAAAAAAAAATAGTAAAACTCGGTGTTTGAGACTTAGTATTGACCATAACTTGTGGTTACCTTTGTCAGTGACACTTCATGATGGACAAAGCATGCCACTATCTGACCAGAATGTTAGGCTGTCACACCAAGACTGTCCTGAGTGGGAATTTCTCGTATACTGTTTAATGTCTAATCAAAAAAACCCAAAACTTTCTTTGATCACAATAAATACCACGGACTTCAGTTTTAGGCCGTGCTTGATATTCATGAAGGGGAGTTGAGCCTGGGTGTTTGTGGGCAATGCTGGAGGGCGGTCCTGAGTTCCAGCTGGGCTCTGCTCATCTGTGACTGGGATGCCTTTGACTCCTGTCTGAAGTGATAAATGCTTGCATGCTTGATTTTTATCTCATATGTTGGAACCTAACATTAAAGGTCACTCCCAAAAACCTTTCTCTTCTGCTTTGCTTCTGCTTCAGTATTCGTAACGCTGGACTGTTTTACAGCAGTTGAAACATGTGAAGGAGTATAGAAGGCTTTATAGTTTCTCAGTGAAAAACAGGAACAGGGTGGTTTGGAATCACAAATGCCTTAACATTTATTCTACTACAGAATAAATGCAGCAAATGAGAAAATAAACAAAGTTTTAAATATAGTTGAAACGTGCCAGGAACATTGGCATTCTTTTTGTGCATGTGACTGCATGAGAAGCATAATGAAGTGGAGATAGAGTAAGTGGACTGAAATTTCTTTTTGGAAGAAAGTAGCAGAGAGAATTCTTTCCCTTACAGTAATTTTATTTCTTGACAGATTTCACTCTACTTACTTAATTTGTAACAAACAAGTATAGATTTCATCTGTAAAGGGATAGCAAATTTAACAGAAACTTCTGGTTTCACTGCAGGCACCATACGTCATTAAAGACCATATAGCAGAGCTTCTAACTACCTGGTCGTATCTAAGGTTTGTTTTGTTAAGGTAGAAATTATTTACCAATTCTGCTATGAAGATGGTGGAAGGGAGAGCATTTTAGTTATGTTTTAACAACTTTGAATCATTACTGAGATTTTACAAGATGTTAAAAATACAGCTGTCAAATTAGACATTAAAATTAAATCTCTTAGCATTTGAGAACATAGGCAGTGTTGTTTCTAGACGTTTTTTGGTCCAAATCAGCTGTTTCTTTTGGGTGCTTCCAGACATTTAGGTGATTGTCAGTTCCTTTGTGTTTTACCATGCCATGTTCAGTGCTTCACTTTATACCTCACAATTTCTTTTGCTGACATTTATTTCCGCTTTGAACCAAATCCATTTTGAACTAGGGAAGCACTGTTCATTTCACATACATGCTAAGATCCAAAGTTGGCAGGACAAGAAGGGGGATTTCTAAATAACTGTTCAAATAAATTTCTTGTTCATTCTGGTGCCGAGACTGCACTTTTCAGCAAGTTCTTTGAGATACAGCACACTGTTCTCAGCCCTTATTTCTGCTGCCTTTCAGCTCAAAGGGCACGTTGTCAATGAACTCAGTAGGAACCGGATACAATTTTTAAGCTTTAGAGAACTATTTAATCAACCTGTAAATTATGATGAATAATCTTAAGCAATTACTTAACATGTTGCATCTCATGAATTAGATGGAACAAATGGTCAGACTCTCGCTATCTCAAAGAATAAGCAGATGTTTTTGGATGGCTCCTTATGATGCTGTGGTATTGTAGCAGGTTCTACCATATGTCATTTCCTCACTCATCCTGGGAAACTGATTCCCAAATGATTCATATTCTAGAAGGGTCTTGATTTTAAAAAAAAAATTTAAAAAAAAAAAAAAGAGCGTAAGTCTTTTGGACCCAAGAAGATGAGAAAAAGCACTAAATGGGGTTATATACTTTATTAGATGCTTTACTTGAAATTGGAAGGATTATTCAGTTTTTTATTTCTCTGGACTGTTTAACAGGGCTCAGTCATTCAAGCTGTGCCAAATCAGAGCAAGAAAAGGGTGCAAAGAGTTCTAAGTTAAACATAGCCATGGGACTTCATAAACAACTTACTAAACTTCATTTCCAGTAAAACTCTGTATCTATGAAAACAGTTGTTAGAAGCCCTTCAGTCAAAGTTAATTCCCTTATTCTTACCTAACAGCCATAGAGGAGGTGCTTAGGCCATGTCGACGTTAGTAAATCAAATATGAGCAGGAACATTCCTGAGTGCTGAAGCCAAGTAGCGTGGAACAGCCCGTGTCTGTTCATCTTAGCCTCCAACACAAGGTGATCACATACAGATTCACTGCTGGGCTCGGGCCCTGGGCTCTTCTGCCTGCTGGACTGTGCCTGGGAGCTGCTCGGGGAAAGGGCTGGTTAGAGCAGGACAGGTTCATGCTGCAGACTGTTCCAACAATTCACTGGTTCAGACGGTTCGTTACAACGTCTGGGAACAGTCCCAGCCAAGCTCGAGATTACTTGTAGAGCTGTACCCTTGGAGTCACCAAGGTCTCTCCTGTCTCTTATGCTGTACAGGGAAATCATTACAAAACATAATAATTAAATAAAAATTGTTCATTTAATTCTCCTTTTTCATCTTGTTTCATCCCTGGACTGTTTACTGTCTTCTTGTATGTTGTTGTTTGGTTCAGGTCTATCATTGTAAGAAACTATAGCTGGAATTCAGCTCCAGATTCAAACACCTAAACTTGTGTGTCTACCTGTGCAGAGGGATCTGCCTCCCACTGCAGTCAATAAAGAATCATTTGGTTTATCCTAAAATATCCCCTTATTTGGCCAGCTGAATTATTCATTATAATACCATTGTCTTTTGTGGAAGCTCTGACACCTAGTTCATGTGAGGATACCTAATTAAAGGTGTTTGCATCTGGAGAGTGTTTTCATACAGTGCCTGTATAATTTAAATTCAAACCACATCTATGAAATCCTAATAAACTGCTTTTTCTATAAAGGCTTTAGGCTTATTATAAGACTTTTGAATGCTGATGTATAGTTTCGTATCAAAAGGAATTATTACTGATTATGGAATACTTCTGATTCTTCCTAAATCTATTGAAAGATGCACAGGGAGTATTTGTCCCTCTGGGGTTCAAATCCTGAGAGTTTATATGGAGCTGGATCTCCTGTGTAATGTGAGATTATTTCTAGCATGGATATTACCCTGAAGTCTTTGATGGTGTTGGAGCACAGTGAAATAACTGTGTATGAAATAAAGTTTGCAGATGCATTGCTTTTAGGTCATCACTAACACAGCTATTTTATCAACTAGCTGTTACCATACATTGTGTTTGCTGCAGGACAAAAAAGAATGTGTTACTCTATATATAGCAGCTAACCTGACTTTGCATTTCCAGTCGTTTTAAGTGCTATTCTGATCCTATAATATTGAAACTTAATGTGTATTCTGTGCTTAATACATAATTTATGTATATCCCTTGTAACTTGAGAGGTTCGTTGATGTAAAAATGCTGAGTGACTTGTATCTATGAAAACTGAGTTACAGTAGTTAGAGAAGAAATGGTATTGCTTCAGATGGTGTTAAAACTTCCCAACCAAAAGCCTAAAATGAAAACTGTAACCCCCGCTTACAAGATAAGGAGCAAATCTATTGCTCAGTTTGTCAATGGCTGTATGGGAAAGTTGCTTCTATCGAAAAATTGCAGTGATTGTGTTCACTCGTATTTTGAGAAGTACAAAGCTGATAGAACATCTTATTGCAGTGAGGATTTCTGTGAAGTAAATATTCCTTAGGAATGTTTTGATCCTGAAGTTATGCAATGAGGAGTGTACCTAAAGATACCTGCATTCCTGTAGAACCGCAGGTAGAAGATACATGTGAAGACATCTGAGTTTAAGTATTAAACCACTATTTACTGGAGACAAATACATGTCAAGCCCTTTGTAAATTTACAAGTTAGACTTTGACAAAAAGGTAGTGTGCTCTGAGCATGACAGAGGAAATAAAGATTTCCTTGTAATCCTTGGCACGTGATAGGTGTTTCCTCTTTTTATTCTGCAATGTTTTCAGCACTGAACGCTTTAACCCAGCATTAGGCCACAAGACAGCAACTCTGACTGGCACAGCTCTTGGCTCACTGAGTGCAGTATTAGGTGTTTGTTCCCATCTGCTGGAGTTTACCCGTTATACAGCGATGTTGGTGAAGCAGAATGACATACGCTTCAGATGCTACAGTTCAGTTCATCATCTTTTAATGCAGTTTCCATCCTTCTTTTTGAAGAGGTTCAGGAAGCTTTTTGCACAGTTCTGTGTTAAGCTATAACATATGCCAAAGGTAGCAAATGAGAAACTTGGTTATTAGCTCGTTTAATATCTAGATGTAAAACGTTTTTAAGTTATCCCTCTGCAATGTAAAACATGCCTTTTTAAGCTATGCCTCTGCAATGAACAGGTATAAATGGATTATGTAAAGAATTCTGTTTCATTCTTTAGTCTTCACTTAAACCCTCTCTTCAGAAAGTTGCTATTGTGCATAGTAGTGTTTGAGCAAATGTTTGTGCAGTCTTGAGAGTGTCATCTGATGAATAGTCATATAATTTCAGCAGTTTTCTGCTGAATGCACTTAAGTACCAGACAGACTTGACCATGTTTGTGAGCTCTGTCAAGACTGCAGCAAGCAATATTACAGTCATTTCCATTAGATATTTTTTATTTGTAAATTTTTCTTGTTTCAGGTAAGTATTTTCTCGCTATGAAATTATAGGTAAAGCATCATTCTCCAGCACATAGTGAAATCTCATAATCAGAAATTCTTCAAGTGTGATCATTACACAGAAGCAAGAGGGGTTTTTAATTATTTTTGGAAATGCATTGTAGCTGTGGGATTAATGACCTGAAACACTAATATCTGCAGCATTCTTGATTTTTTTTCAAAGACTGGAAAGGAAAAACAATGTAGAAATAACTGCTTCTAATTCACAGGAGGAAGGGGAGGAGTTCAATAGCTGACTCTTAAGATTTACTGACACCAATAATTTTAACAAAAAACCCCAACAACAATATATTTTGTTAATTTAAAATTGGTTGGAATTTCTTATGCAATGATTTTACCCATATTTGAAAATTACACTTGTTACAAATTTTAAAGAGTTTGTGTCATGAAGATACTGAATTCACTGTGACAGCCAGGATAATAGATGGTGCTGTTTTAATGATGATTTTAATGTGTTTTTTTCTTCAGATTGAACAGTAGTTGTAATCTATTCTGTATATATCGAAAAATGGCAATGAAAATTTCTCATTAAAATCTCAATGAAGGTGAAAAACAGTTGTTGCTTATTGTTTGGAGAGGTTTTTCAGAAGCAAAACAATTTAATCGGAACTCACACAAGTGCATATGGTTGTTTATATTCTGGTAGACAGCCATGCTAAATTTTTCCAGAGAATTAATGACATTAAAGTATACGGCAATAAGGTTTTAAATGTAGCTGTATTAGTTTTCTGTTTCAGTAAAGTTAGGTATTTAATTTCATTGAATGTACATAATCACAATTTTAGTCTTAATAGCGTCTAAAGAAATTGTCTCCAGATATGTCTGTCAGCTGTCTTGGGAATCCTTTACAAAATGCACAGTTTGTTAGAGAGGGGTCTGTTTATCCATCAGTGAAATCTAGATGATGTAGGAAATGTTATGCTCTTGCTGCAAAGCACAGCAGCAGTACCCAGTGATCAAGGCTTGACTTCAAATCTCTTTGCTTTCTCTGAAACTAGAGTCTGACGTTAAGCATAATTTCTTGAAGGAAGACAAGACATTGCATTAATGTACTAGTTCTTGCAAAATAAAAATGAGCTGGTGCTTAATGAGAGTGTTTAACTGATAACACTTCAAAGTAATGAGTGATACATTAAATACTCTACCAGCTTTGCTCTAAACAGTGAAATCTAACTTCCAAGAAATTATGTCCTTGTCTGACTGAAAAAACTGTGTGTAGGCAAAGTAAGTATCTCAAATTAAGTTCAGAAGTAAATTCAGAGTTTAAAAATAAAATATTTCAAATAAATAAAAATCATTACGTAGAAGTATGAGCTTCCAAGGAGAAGACTTGGAAATGGTGATCTTGTTTCACAGAACGAATCCATACTGTTAAATTTTGTTTACCTTGAATTTCTAGTTCTGAGTTCTAGGAGCAATTAATTTCTGCTTCTAGAGCTGACAGAAAGCTCCTTGTAAAATTTACCTTTTAAAACTGGACAATAAGCAGAAATATCACAGGCTTTCAGGAGTACTACCAGTTGAATGATGCTTTGCGTTACAGGATTGAGACGGATGTAGTTAATGTACTTAAAAAGAGGAACAGAATGATAATGTTCCATTCATTCTGGGTTCCCTCTGCTCCTCATCTCATTGAGATTACAGCAGTTCATAGGAGACAGTATTGAGAGGAGAGAAAGAGGACACCCACCCCCCAAAAAACAAATTCAAGGACATCACTGGTAATTAAAGTAGGTAGCTGTGAAAAATTGGGGGGTTGTCCCTGAAATAGGATGCTGATGGATGTTTGGGTTTTTTTTTCCAGTGAAGTTCATGCATTTAAGAAAATGTACCTGAAAGTTTTGCTTGTAGACTTCTATGTTAATCGTAGTTTTGATTTGTTTTCAGCTGTGGGATTGGGATCTTGGTGCTTCCACATGACCCTGAAGTATGAAATGCAGGTGAGTATTGATAAGCAGCTGTGAATCATTTTATGTGTGTATCTCGCTATATAGTCACATTGCCATTTCTTGACTAGATGAAATTCATATAATGTGAGTTAATCTACCTTCGGTATCATTGTATGTGACTCATGCTCTCAACAAAGAGAGGAGCACAGGTCTTGTTCCATTAGATATTTTCCACTGATAGATATACAGGAATATATACTTGCATCTAAAATAAGAGCTATAATCAATTATTTACATCGGTGGAAGACACTATCCTTTGGGAAATCATACTATCTTTTTACCTGAGTTGCTATTCTAAAATTTCTACAGCTTTGGATTAATAGCAAGCAGTATAGGCTAGAGTTACTGTTATTTATTGTATCCTTTTTTTTATCTTAAGGTTTCCTATTACGATTTCTATTTATCTAGATGTACTTGTAGCATTAATGTGGAAGTAATTATCTTTTGAGTAGCAATAATTGAGTCTTCTCTCTTATTCTCAAGTAGAAGGCATTCTGTAATAGATCACTGGGCCTAAGGATTTGGTCCTGATGTTTCCTGTTTTCTAAAGGGACACGAGGAGTCTTGTCCTGTTTTAGGTCTGAGAAGATTAAGGAAATTAATCTTTGAATCTAAGGGTGAAGTGAGATTCATTTCAACTTAAAAAAAAAAAACAAACCCTGTGTTTAGAAGTATGTGCTGGCAGTCTGTGCTCTCACCATAGTCAACAGAAACGCAGGTACATCAGTGGAGTTTAGAGATGGGCTGAATCATTCTGCAGTCTCCAGTGGCACCCTTTACTTGAATATTATTCCTTTGTCTGAATATAGGTGTTTAGTGTCATTTTAGACCCTGTGAGTGTTCTGTCTTGGCCTCCAGCTGCCATCCCACAAAGGTGCAGGTCTCTCAGACCCCCTGTCACATCTGCAAGGCTTGGGTTGGGTGTATTGGAGGTGACAGAGCGTCTCAGATGGCATTAGGTGCCTATGTGGTGGCAACTGAATTGAATCCTGGATTAATGCTGATCATAATGGGACCAGAGACACTGCATACATGGGCACCAGAAGTTATGTGTCTTAAACTGGAACTGAATGACCATCTGTAGTGAGATTTGTCTCTGTAATGCTCTGGTTTATATCTCTGGCACGTGCTGGAGACTGTCAGCCTATATGGAGCATACTGTTGCCACCACGTAAGAATATCTGGTGCTTTTCTTGGCATGAAAAAGGCAGTTTCTAGAACCATTTTACCACTCCCTCCCAAATTGAGGTGTGATTTACCGATATTCTCTTCAGTGGTGAAACTGCCTTGAATTTCCACCTTTTCCTCTCTCTTCCCTCAGCTGCTTGTTCCTAACCCTGCCAGTTCTTTCTTACACAGATGCAGAGGTTAGCCAGGCCACTCTGAAACTCAGATCATTAAAGTGATTCAGGCTTAAAACATTCTTATGTGTGGTGGGGTTGTTATTTTTGTTTGTTTGGGATTGTTTTTTTGCGTGTGTAGAGGCTATTTTAATCCAAGTCACTTTGATGCTGCTTACCCTGTAGTTCTGGTGTTGCATCAGAACAACTAAGGGGCCTGTGAACTGTGGTAAGTAAAGGGTGGGTGGAAGCAGATGAGAGGGGAGCAGGAATGTCTTGCATCATCTTTCCAACTGGTGTAAAGGGCTTCGTGTGAGGCAGAGAAAGTACACTTATTATTTTGGCAGCCAAGTGAAATCCACAAGTGGCCCATAATTACTCTTGATTGCTAGCTCAGGAATCACCTTAGAGGAAAGCAGTAAATAATCTTTCCTCATTCACTTTGTCTATTGTTAGGATTAAAAGTAAGCATTGATAGCTGTTTGAAGAGGGTTTGTTTTTTTTTTTAACATTTGTTTCGCAATCTTAATACTATAGATGGTCAATTCAAATTGCTTAATTAGGAGAAATGTGAAAACTTCTGTTCCTGAAAGCAGTTATTTAGAATACTTCTGGAGCAATCACTGCTGAATACTTCTGAAGCATTAAAAAATTATTTTTATGGGAATCTGCTTGTGTGTGCATTCCTCAAGAATCCAAAATGCTTATTTAACCAGCAAAATCAGCTCACTGAGTTTCCTTCTATCCATGTTTCTTCATTGTTCAGACATGCTCTTGACAGTATTTCTGGAAGCGTTAATTCCTTTGGATACATATGCCGTTGTCTTCTGCAAGCAAATTCTAACTTGGATCTTTTGAGAGGCTCTTGGATGTTACCACTGTGTCCCTGAAATGCTGCCAGCATAGAGTGTAATCAGCTGTCCAAATTTGAAAAAATTTGCTATATTTCTTCCCCCCCCCCTTTTTCTTTTATGAGGCCTTAAATGACTCTCACTCTTAGAGCTGCATGAATTAATCCTGCAGCTAATTCCTATCAGACTTGGTAAAGCATATCACTGAATTTATAATAGCTATTAGTACAAAACTGAATTCAGCTACTGCTTCTGGTTTTATCCTCTCTAAGGCATCACAACAAAGATAAACTAATGTGGTGGCCAGGTGCCAACCACACACACCCATTACCTCCAGCTGCCACCTATGTTCCTGATACTTTCTATGTGCTACCTGTTGTGGTCCCTGACTCTACAATGCATGGATTCAGGGATTTAAAGTTTTTTCTGCAGGGTTAGTTGTGTGCTGGATCTGTTGTTGGAAGTGGCACACTGTGGGACAGATTGAGAGAAGTGGTGGGAGTGTGGGTGAAGAAGCAAGACTTGCCTTGTCAGTGGCAGCTACTCTGTAGATCTGTTTAGTAATATTGCAAAACATTGCCTGAAATTTCTGTGACCAAAAGCTAATAGTTCACACTCATCACTGATGATGAGACCACAAACAATAGATCACTGCTTTTTCCAACATGAAATTTCAAAAATAAAATAAAGTTTTTGTCTGTGCAGTTAAAAAAATTCTCCTGAACCAAGGAGAATCAAGCTGGCTTTATAAAAGGGTTTGTGTAAACTGATATTACTCTTAAATATGGTTGTGTACTTGTTAAGTATCCTATATCAGTAGTAGGAAGGTAATTTCTGTCCAGGCAAGGCCATCAACAACTTTCAGAGTGATGATGTAAAAAAAGATCAAAATCTTGTTTGCATCCAGTTCATGCTTTTCCTAGGGAGAATTCAAACCTGTAACAAATCTAAGATGCCAACTATTAACGTTTATTAGAAATATTAGAAATAGCAGTTAGTGGATCTTCATTGATCCATTTGTATGCTTTTGCATTTTCATGATTTTCAGTCCTTTATAAAAGGAGGTAAGTTTAACTATATATTTATGAGCAGAAATTTCTTAATGTTCTTTGAGAAAAGATTTAGAAGAAAATTATGCTGTTTTTTTTCCCCTCTAATGATGATTAAATGGCAATTTTGAACATACTTGTTCTTGAGAAATCACCTTGCTTGTGATTACTATTTTAATTCCATCTCCACTAAGGTGGCACGTTCCTGGAGAAGTAACTTTTAGCTGTAATACGCCAGTCTTCTCACAAAGTGTAAAAATTACTTAATAAAACGTCATATGGCAGCCATAATTTGGGAAAGAAACCAAACAAGAACCCCACAACAAACTAACCCAAAAGACCTGTCTCTGAATTAAAACAATGTAAGAAATTTCAAAAATTAGGAAGTGAACGTGGAAGCACATTGCAAGGTACTTCCAGTGGGCTAAAGTTCTATTTTATGTTACGGAAAAAAAAAATAAAATAAATCAGGTTTTCTGTGAAGTTTGTACAGAAGTAAGAAAACTCTACTGGCTGTATTGAACAGGCTATAAATGGGGTGCTCTTATTCAGTCTGAGTTTATAAAATAATTCTTACAAATGTTTGAAGAGGTATGAACAGCACACATGGCATGATTCTTTGAAGGCGTGGGCTTTTTATGAAACGTAATAGTCAAAAGATTCAGAGCAATAAGCTTATTAACACAGCAAGCTTTCAGCAGTTTAATAGGATTTGACACTGCTGAGTAAAGTCCAGTTAAGAAGGTGGATATCCAAATGACTTAAAAACTCCTGTTTTCTTAAGACTTATCTCTCCTTAATTAACTCTAGACAACCGTGTGAGTTAAAAGTAGTTTTCATGTTTTGATGTCTCTGCTTTTTGTAGCTGTTGGATGAACTGCCAATGATATACAGTTGTTGTGTGTTTGTCTACTGCCTGTAAGTATTTGTTAAATGTTTTTTTCTGAATATTTATGAAATATTAACTTTTGGAATGTAGAATCTGTGAAGCCCGATCTAGTGTGTAGTGAGGCTGATGCTGAAGCTTCAAATGATTTCAGTGAGATCTGTTTTGCCAGCAGTACGACATTATGACTTGGCCATCAGACCACCAGGCTGGCTTTAGTCCTAGGTTTTGCTAATTTAGAGATGTTTTACTAGTGTTTTTTTAAACAGGAAAAAAACCTAACAACCTCATGTTAAAGACTTTGCGTAGTATGCAACCAGAGCTCAGTGTTACTTGGTATGTAAACAGCAGACACAATAAAGTCAACTTCAGTAATTCCTACAAAATTATCAACGTTGTAATTTATTTGAGCTGTATTTCTATGATGTAGTCTGACTCCAAATGCAAATTTCAGATTTCTGGTTAAACCTGCTTTTCCGCTCATCTGGAAAATTAAAGAAAAGGTTTTATGAAGAGTTGAGAGCACATTTTGTGGAGAATGTCTTGGAAAATGCATGACAGCTTAATGCCATGCCAGGATGTTTTCTCTCCTTTAATTTCAGGAGCAATGTAGCATTTGGTGACTGTAAAGATACCGTAAGTTGGCTTTTTCTTGCCTGTTGCTGCAAGGCCTGGGTTTAACATGATTTGTTCTGTCACTCAGAAAATCCAAATGATAAATCAACTTGTTGCAGAGAAAAGGACAAAAAAAAGTCTTTTTAGTTCTGAACAGATCAAATATTCAGCCGTTGAAAATTGGAATATCTTTGGTGAAGATTACTGGTAACTTGCAATGGAGATGGGATGCTGTGGGGCTAAACCCACATCTGTGGAAATTACCATCAGTTTGTGATTCATACAGTAGAACGATTTGTGCAGACGCAGGAGCAGAATCATAATGCCCCTGTTAGTGGAAATATTTCCATTGTAGCTCCCGATCTCCTTGAAATTGCCTTTGCATTTATTTTGTCTGATTTGAATGTGATTGGGGAAAAAGATGAGAAGTGGCTGTAAAAATCTGTTTGAACCAATAATCATGCTTATTTTGTGCAATGGTTACTCGATTATCTTCAAAAGCACTGAAGTCTGTTACTGCATTTATAGCTCTAATAAGATTCTTTGTGTGTATGTTTGGTAGTAATTAAAATGTTCTGAAGAATGAGCTAATGTTGAGTTTAGGAGGCCTTTAATAATCGTTTTGGTTTTCTTGAAGGTAGGTGGTGGGGTGGTTCTGCACAGGACATTCCCTTATGCATCATTCAGCCCTACCGACTCTGTGTAATTACTTTGGCAAGCCATTTTGCAATGTAGCACATCATGCTGTCTTGTAGGTTTTGTTGTTTTTTGTTTGTTGTTTGGTTTTTTTTTTCCCAGATATTCCTATCTGTTTTTTTTTTTCTTTTCCATCTATTCATCCATAATGGTGTCTGTTTCCAACAGTTTCTGACCAAATAAACAAGGCAGATGTAACTTGGAGTTATATAAACAACTTCCTCTAGCCCTAATGATTTTGTGTTTGTCAAAGTTCAGCTTTGTTGGGGTTTTTTTGGTCCTTTTTTTCTGATGGAGATATGATCTGGGATGCGTGTGTGTGTGTGTGTGTGTAATTCCATCACAACTGTGACTGAAGTGTAGTGTAGAGATTGCAAAACCGATTTTAATTAGTTGCTTTACATACTGGGAGCAATTAGCTGGTTTTACCTTCCACTTCTACCAGTACCCAATCTAGCAAATTTACTGCACCGTGACTGTTGTAAAGCCATAAACAATCTGCATTTTAACAGATCTCTAGAGTTCACTGTTTTGTAAGGTAGTCCGTTTCCCATGCTGTCTTTAGCTCACAGATGTAATGTTTTTTGGCAGCTGTATTGCATTTTAAACTCATTTCTAATTTGCCATCCATTATCACCCCTTAAGCACCTCCTGAAAGTGCTTCTGCTTCCCAAACTCTTTCCACTGGTTGGGTTATTTTTTGTGTATGTGTGAGCTTATGGGGCTTTTTTGTACTAGATTTAAAAAAAAAAAATAAAAAAAAATCACACTTTTACCAATAAAATTACACATCTTTATTGGAGCAGCTACAATTTCTTGAAGGGCTTGAAACTCATTTGGATCAATTTTCTCACAAATTTTGTGATAATATACCTTGAAAAATGCATCCTTTATATGGTAAGTGATGAATGTTATTGCTCTCCTTTCTGTTCTGTTCCAGGTATGAATGTTTCAAGTACAAGAACACAGTCAATTATCCACTGCTTTTCTTGTTAATAACATACAGCTTCGTAGTCAGCATAGTAAGTACCTTTTTCTAATACGGCATTTTCACCTGTAAGTTGACAGTTTTCTTGCCAATGAAGGAACGTTACACAGGCAACACTGAATCTCTCTCACTTCCAGTCAAGAAGGACAAATTATTCTTTTGTTGGGAAAATTATGTCCTGACCAGAGAACCCTGAAACCTTTCTATCTAAACAACTGTCTAGAATAAATGAAGAAGAAAAGCAGTAATCCAGTTGCTAGAGTAGGAATGTGAGGAAAAACAGTCACTGTTGACTTGTTATGAGATCTTGGACAAGCTGCATTCCTCATCTTCCCTCACTTTAATTCATCTACAGAAATGAGAATAAGCCTGGTCAATAGACTGCAACAAGTGAACTGTTATACACAGTCCAGGATATTTACTGGTGTTGTAAAGCAACAGCTAGAATAAGAAAGAAACTTTGCTGTTAAAAAAACTAGAAGAATTTTAACTGTGTCATGGTTAACTTGATTCCCTTTCTCGGTGCAATGTGCCCTCTTTATGAATAAAATGAGTTTTGTGCTGGATGTCAACCACAGATGGAATCTCCTGGATTGTTTGTATTGATAACCATTTAAAAATAAAATTAAATAAATAAATAAATAAATAAAAGTAGTATTATAGGTTGTCATCTACCTTCAGAAGACTTGCCTGTTCTCTTCTTCCTAAATTTTTTACACTTGTGGCATGTTATGTCTAAGGTCTAGTGCCCTTCTGTCTTCAAAAGCAGAAATTAAATGAATTGCATCAACAATAGGAAGAACTACTATTTCTTTGTAAGATCAATTGAAATGTTAATGCATTGTCAAAAACATTAATAATAGCAAATCAAAGTAGAGTACGTTTTCTTCTTGCAATGCATATTGAGAATGTGTCTGGTAATTTCTGCATCTTAATTGCTTTTGTATGTGTTGCAACTCTGTTAAATGAGGATATTTTCGACGTTAAAATCTGTATTTGTGCTTCTTAATTTAACATAATTCCACAGTTGCTAACCTCAGGTTTTGCCAGAGGAAACTTCAGGTGTTTAATCAATTTTAATGGTGCGTGGATAGGCACCTGTGTCTTGATTCTAACAGAACAAGTCTTGGCAATATTTTGATGAATAATGTTCTAATTGTTCTTCTTTTTTTTTTTTTTTTTATCTTTCCAGGTTTACTTAAATTTGAAAGAGCCTGTGTTCCATCAGGTAAATCTTGCTCTGTTGGAGAAGCTAATCTTGTTTTAAAGTACGCTGGTTTAGTGGAGTGTTTTACAGGATTTTATAGCTGAAAGAAAGATGGAAGGCAAGCACAATTTGCCTTTTTCTTTAAGCAGTATTGCTGCATGTCGCATTGCCATCCTCTTATTTGGTGACTTGAAAAACTGGAATGGTTTAATGCATGTTGTGTCTTAACATTTGATCTAATATTTCACGTGGTTTTTGTCGGTGGTAAGTGTAAGGAGGTGATATTGGCTGTGGGCTAAGGGGGGTGTGTGTGATTTAATGAGTCCTTGTCGTGCTTCTTTCCAGTAGCAGCTGCTGTGAAACTGTGACGTGGCTTAGCACTGTGTTCTTCTCTCCACTTTAACATATTAGTTTGGGCTTTTTTAACCACTCAGTTTTACTTTGTGCAAGTTCAAGCTGAATTTAAACACAGAATGTCTTCTAGAGTTATGTAGCAAGACTAGTTGTTACAGTCTTACAGCCTTAGTGGCATATCTGGTACAGGTTCCTTAGGAGGTTACAAATCATGCCTGTTTATATATGCCATGAGGAGTTTTCCCTCATTTAGGATTTTCTGATTAGGGATAACAGCTGGAAAATTGCCAAGCAAAAGCACTGAGCGCTTTGCAGGACAGGGCTTTAAAGCCTTAATTTCTGAAATTGGTAGTGCCGTTGCTTGTCAAAATGTGCCTGCTGCATCAGCAGTTGTAAAAATGATACGTGATTCCTGTTGGTGGATTAGTGAAGCGCTGATGAATAAAATAAATTCCCAGCTGCTCCAGATAATCTCTCCTAGAAACATGAATTGTTACTCTACCTGTAGATAAAAAGAGAAACTTGCAGGGTTGCGTTTTGGGTTTTTTTTTTCGATAATCTTAATTAAATCCTTTTTTTCCCCCCCACTTAGATTTCTAGCAGGAAAATGCTGGCTAGGGTGAAAGTGGAAATTGCTGATGCTTTTACTGAGCTGGTTATAACTGGTTTTGAATGAAGTGACAAAGTAATTTTGTTAACAGGATTTACTACTGATATTGGACTTTTATTTCTTCAATCAGTGATCTACTCAATCTACATTTATTACAATAAATACATTAAACCTTCACTATATTCCAGTTTGATGCATTGCCATAGGTATTGTCTCATGTCACAAATGCTAAGTAAAATGAAAGATATTATGACTTGTTGAGAAAAAGGGAAATAGGGAAATTTTAAACTGTCACCCCAGACCTTTAATTTTTTGCATCTGGTTTCTTTTAGGTTCAGAATATGAATTCCCTGTTATAATTTATACATGAGGAATCAATGTAGAAAAGATTTAGGCCCATAAAAGTGCTGGACTTCTTACAACAACTCTTTCCAAATTGATTTTTATGGAGAACATACAGTTATGGCCAAATTCCAAATGTTCAAGTACTGCACTCATTTTTTCACAGTCTTTGCCAAATATGTTGTAAATCCAGAGGAAACATTTCTCTGACTGCACAGCTAAGCAAGGTTATTTTCATAATACTTGTCCTTTATTTTAAAGTGCACCAAAAAAAAATAAAAATCTCAATATAGTTTCAGTAAGTATTTTCCAAATGAATGGGTCTCATAGACTTGAAGTAAAGTTAAATATGCTCATGCAATCATAGTTTAGATCACAGTCTCAGTTCCTTAACTGTATTGGAAAGCAGCGTCAGGACATAAAGCAGAGTTTGATTCCTCTAGGTATTTGTCTGTGATCATCATCATTTGTCAGCCTTGCAAAAAGGGGAATAACTACATGGACAGCTTTATATGGTTCATTGTTTCAGTGTGTTTTTTTTCCCCCTGAAAAGAGAGCAATAAGAATGGAAAAGGATCCTATTATATTTAGTAGCCAGGATCCAAGCCTCATTTTTCAGTGAATTACTTTCAACTTTCCTTCCCAACTTAGGCTCGTAAATTGCTCACTGCCAGCAGGGCATGAAGGGGATTTCAGTTTGTTATTCATGGCACAGTGGCAACAGAGACCAACTTATTTTTCTTCGTCCACATATTGCAGATCTTTAAGGGTCTTAGTGCTTTAACCGTAGGAGGGGTGAGATGCACGTTTTGGTAAGTTGGAGGTTGCACATCATTGGAAGGAAGAAACCACTTCCCTGCCTGACAACTGATCTGGTATTTTTTGCCAGCTCATCAATTAAAAGAAAGATAGCAGTGGCCTTTACAAGCATGTATTGTCTTGTTTATGTCAAAATCTCTCAGGCTACAGCACTGTTATTACCTAATTTCTGTGGTGCTAAACAATCCTACATCCCAGTTTCCTAGTTTTATTTAAGCCAGCATCATTGTCAAAGAAAACAGATGGGGCTCTCCCCCCTTTTCCATCTGGCACACAAATTTACTCTCTGATGTGAATTTGACTGGGGAACTCAACAGGTTAAATCTCTCCTTAGTTTTAAATCAGGTTAGTGGCTCATCCCTCTTTACCACATGTGTATTTGTGTTTATACAAGGAGAGGGGTGGGGGCAGACTACCTGTTGGTGTGGAGCGATCCACAGACACACAGTTATAAGACAGCCCTGAAAGTAGAAGAAATTACCCTGGCAGTTAAACTTTTAGACTTAAGTCTTACAAGTAGCCTTCTTTCTAATATTATATGGCCTAGAAAGCTGTCACCTACAAAGCATTATTTTCCATCCTAATTTGTTTACCTGATACATACCACATGCTGGCTATATACCTGTAGTGATCAAAAACCTCATTCAGCTAGTGAGCCAAGTTATGTGAATAATGATCTAAAAACCTGTTTTATTTGCATAGTCATCTGCTGCAAGAGTTTGAAGCAAATTTTGAGCAAACAAATAATTAAAAGATAAATAGAAAGCTAGAATAAATAGATGTTTCTTCTACGTTAGAAAAGGTGATTTTTAAAAAATGTCTTGTGTATAGACATTCCAGAAGCGTTGTTATGGTGTCCCACGAGAAACTAAGCAAGCTGAAGTAGATCAATATGAGAATTGCAAATAGGGTAAGGGAGTGAGTGACTGGTGGAAAATGACTAAAGGAGAAGATGAAAGGCAGTCTCAATCTGGACTTTCTCAACATCAGTAGTGGGACTGGTTTTATTTAACGACCTGTAGCAGGAAAAACAGAGTCGTGTACTGATGGTATTTGTGATGATACAAAGTTCAGAGATACTGTTGAGTACAGAGGAGGAGGTGAAGAGATAAGTGGGAGACCTTGAGGAGTAGGATGACAAATGATTTGAAATGGAAGAGCATGCAGAAATGGGCAAATACCAACTATTTGTGTTCTAAACTGCACATAGATCATGGAGGGAGGGAGGGAGGGAGTGCCTGGTTGTGTTTGCTGATCACAGCGCAATATGACCAGTAAATTTTCTGCAACAGTGATACAAGTAAAATACAAGTATTGGATTTACCAATTAAGGTGACTTTGGGTAAGAGGGAGAGTGTAAGTGCTGCAGAAAAAAAGTTTCATTTGCCTCAATGAAAAAATGAATAAAACTGTTCTCCACAGGTGTTTTAAATATACAAATGCAAAGGAAGTGAAATCACAATGAAATGTGTATGTAGAAGTACATATGGGAGCCTGAAACCACGTGAAGAATATGTTATGTCAGGACACAACCTGTTCAGACTTAGAAGACTTCTCATTCTGGGCAATCTGTGTGGACCCACTTGGTGTCCTACGGCTCTCCAGGGTCCCTCCTGCTGCTAAGGCAACAGTCAGTTGTAGGCTTAGTATATTGTGCCTTTTAGTGGAACGTGTTCTTGCTTTCTACATGTTCAGGTTGGCAAGCAGTCTGTTAAAAATGACCTTTTCAGGGCATCCCTTCACCACAGAGCTTTTTCTACTTGGGTATTGTCCTGCCGAAGACCACGTATAAAACTAATTCAAGTGACATGTCACTCTGTTACACAGCTTGTTTGGGGATGTCTTCCCGAAAGCGAGTACAGCTTTTATTCTGGGTAGTACTTCCACCTGCACAACAGCTTACGGAATGTGGAAGGACGTTCAGAGTCTCCATAGGATCAGCTCTGTAGGTCATTGAAGGGGAAGCTCAGTTTACTGCCGCAGTGTCCCAGAAGCTCTGGATTGCTGCTCGGTGCCAGGCAGCAGCAGTGACTTTTGTGTCACTTTGCCGTCACATACGTGCATCTAAACAGGACCAAACCAACTGAATCTAAATTAGTTCTCTCAGGAGCTGTCAGGGTGGCTGTAGTACTAAGCAGCCATAGCTGTGCCCAGTTACTCTGTGTTTCAGTGTCATCCTACGGACTGTCTTTCCTTTTTCTCTCTGCTCAGATTTCTTTTCCAGAAATCCAAGAACATGTAGAAGTTGGTTTTCTCTGTTGTAAATTACAAATACAGTTTCCAGCTTCAAGTACTTAGGCTAACTATCTTTTGATAGCTGGTTGGTATGTTAATAGATAAGCAGTGGTGTGGTCGCCAAGAACCCAAAATCTCTCCGTGCGGTTCCCAGTGTGTACACTAATATTTGAGGCAGATAAATTGACTTTTATTAACCAAGGATGGGCAGAAGGCCAGGAGAAGTGGAAATAACAGGCTATTTCTACTTTCTGTACTAGGAGGGTAGGTGAAGAATCAGTTTTGTATGCTCCCCCCAGAGTGGAGTACCAACCTTGCCTCTGACTTGCACAGGAAATAATTTGCTTAATTGCCTCCACATCAAAAATGCTGCCAAACACAGCCCTGAAATGCTTATTCCCGTTTGTGAATTAGAAGGATGTTCTTCATATTTGGCCTTCTTATCAGGCAATCCACTGTGTATTAATAAGAGTTCGGGTTTTTCCCCCATTGCAATGATACAGGCTTCAAAGCTCAAATACATGGAGCTTTATTTGCATCTTAAACAGCAAAGAGGGAACTGTCTAGTGGTAACAAAAGATGATGAGATTCTGCTGTTTCCTTTTGTTTCAATTGTAAGGCAAGGGTGTTCTTTGGCATAGGATTCAAAGGCACTGTGAGACAAAATAGCACAAAACTTGCTTGGGTTTTCATCTGTCACTTAAACAATGTGTTAAAGAAGAAGAACAAAGGGAGCTACAGGAACTGAAAAATTTGAGTCAACTTGAATAAGGTAGATTTTTTTTTTTCCTTTTTTTTCTTTCTCTTTTTTGATTTATTTTATACTTTATCCTCCTTTGGGTGGACGGATAATCCCTAACAAATTTTTGGCACAGTGCAAATAGTAAATCCATGGGTGGTAAAGGAGTAAAAGTAAGCATTGCTCCCTGAAGTATAAACTTAAGTTGTGTAGCTTGGTTTATAGGCCTCGAGTAAGAACCAGCTGTAGCAAGACGTGCAGCTACAGTCTCTGCATATCACAGCAACACCTCCTCGGTGCTTGCCTTCCATGTGGAGAGGATTGGAGCGTGCAAGGCAGAACAGTTTGTTGTGCCAATCTTTCACAGGCTTTTAAACACGAATATGTTTTACTGCTAACAACCTGTTTGTGTGGGGGAGCGGAAAAGGCAAGAAATTGAAGTGTCAACTGTGGGCATATTTTTCTTCAGTCACTGCAAGGTTCTTTTTATTTTTTTTTTCCTTCTTACCTCCATTAAGACTGTCCTCTTCTGCAAGCCATTAAGCAACTCACTAGGAGATACTAAGCTGGAGGCTCTGGAAAGAAAGCTTTTCTTAGCTTTTGGTCTTTGCTGCTTTTAGCAGCTGCTGCAAAAAATAGCACTTTTAGCCTCTGTTTTACCTGGGCGTTGGGCTGCCTATTAAGCCATGTTTCTCTAGGCATAGTCTGACACTATTTATCTCCTTCTACAAAGAACCCAAGAACAAATTAGATAAAAGCATGAAGGTGCTCACACCCTTAACAAGTATAATAGAAATTTCTCTTCATGGGTAGGTTTTTCATGTGTCTGTGCTGCAGGAGAACATTTTAGCAATGGAAATTGTAGGAAGGAGATCAGCAAGGAAAGGGCATCAAACTCTGATTTGGATTCCAGAGGAGCCTTTCTATGAGTTTCTTCCTCTGTGTCATCTCTCTCTTAGAATAAATTATTGAATTTGATTAGGAAAACTAAATAGGCTGTTTTAAATGAGACTGATGAAGTAAAATGGCATTTAAGTTTTAAATTTAGTCTGTATTTGTTACACGATGGGGTATTTTTTGGCAAAATGTCAGCGATGAAGGATTGTACCAGCATGCAGCACCTTTCCCTTTTCCCTTTCTACTTTTACCTTGGGACTGATAAGCACTTGATATTTGGGCTGTGTCTAGTGGGTTTTGTTTTTTGGGGAGTTTTTTTCCACGATTTATGTGCCGTACCCGAGCAAGCGTTTTGTATAAAGTACAAGCCAGAACCAATTAGCCTTTCAAATAGTTTTGCTTTGTTTAGCTCTACAGAGCAGAAAACACAGCAGTAGTAGTTCAGTTACTGAAGTTATTTGATCTCACTCTGAATGCAAATAAAAAGCTGCTCTGCTGAATGCCTTTGCATAGTCAATATTGGAGCTTAGTTTTACCTGTTGTCAAACATAAGCGCTCTGTTGTCTGCCTTGTTCTGTATATATGCACTGATAATATGGTGCGTGCTATTAACCTCATAGTTAAAGCTAAAAGGAGTTTGAAAATTTGCCTTTATGGACTTTTGAAAGGTAGGTTTCACTTTGCATTATAGCAGTCTGGTTTATGTCGGATGAGTAGACACATGCATATGCTTGTAGGTTAGTAATAGCTGAGTGCCCTGGTTACAGTGGAGTAAGAGGTAGTCCTTGGCTTGACAGTGTGGTCTAAAAGAAGGAAAGGTATGAGGAGGTCAGTGCAACATGGTAAGGACACGGCTTTGTAAACACACCTCTGAGTTTAGTGGCTTTTAAAAATAGGCAGCAAAGGTTTCTCGTTTTGCTGTTTGATGTAAAACAAGGCAGCATTAGACAGGAGGTAAGTAAAAGCAAAATGAGAAAGGAAAGTCAGTGAACAAGGAAGCGAAGAATAGCAAGGGGCTTGTAGGCCGCCGGAGAGAGGCAAAGGACAAGGCACAACTGCTTGGAACAAACTGCCTTTTGGCAGGAGGAGAACAAGTGTTCAGAATAAAAAGCATGGAGAGTAATTTAACATTACCAGTGTTTGAAAATTGTCCCTGCTGCAGTGGCTTCTGCATCACTTCTCAGGCATGACTGACCACATCTCTTCTTTAGTCTGTACATCTTGGAGATGGTATGTGGATCCTAAGCTTGTGAATAAACAAAGAGAGTGATTTAAAGATCACGAGGCAGAAAATAAATGATTACTTTGACTTTTTATATAAGTCAAGCGATTACATTCAAATTCATCAAGCCTACAGTGAGCTAGATTTTGCTCATGGATCTTTTCAGAGCGTGTAGCCTTCCCACTGTATAATTAGTTTGAATCCCAACAATGTGTAATAGCTGGTTTTAAATGCTTCCTGGAAAGTTTCTTCCATACTTGTGTGAGCACAGTGCATAGTCTATTCAGGTGTTTGCTTTCAGGTAAAAATATTAATCAAATATCAGTGAAGGAAGTATAACTTTCCAAAATGTTTTTAGCAGATGGTTACACAATCCTGGCCTAAAACGCACAGATACAGAAGAGATGATAGGAGTTAGTTACTATTTTGATTTTTAGGATGCTTACGGAGTGCCATCTAGTGTTTGCTTTCTAATTCAAAAAAAGTGAAACTGGTTTTGCACAACTGACTTTCCCTGTAATTGCATAAAGGGCATGATTTATAATCATATTTTTATTTTAAATTTTTATAGAAGACTTCCTGGAGAGAAAGTTAGAGTGGATACTATTTTCCTGAGATGAAAAATAAAAATCAACAAAGGCTTCAAAAATCTTTTACTCCTGTTGTGTTTTATAAAGTATCTTGAATCCAACCGCTGAATTTTATCTCTTTTTATTTCCAGGTCATGTATGGAACACTAGTTTCCATTATAGTTCTACGATCTGTTTATATAGTATTATGGTAAGTAACCGTTTAGTTCAGCTTTATAAGATATAACTTGGCATTTGCATCTATTTTTGGTAGGCTTAACGTGAGAAATTGGCAATGGCAAAATTTCTTTACCTAGGTGCCTAATGTTAGCTACTCTGCTCTGCTTGGCTTAAAAGTAATGGCTCATCTCCTTACATTTTTCTGAAGCTGGTGGGAAAACATTAAACAAACTGGTGATTTCTACACCTATGATCAGTTTTCACTGCTAGGTGTTCTGCTAGTGGCTTGAGTTGTTAGCCTGGGACTTCAAGTGGAACGGAGTTTCTGTCTTCATATTGCTGGGTAACATGGAATCTGTTGCCAGTGTCCAAACTCTGATGCTGATGCTTGGAGAGAGGTGAGAGTAAGACTGCAGAGCTGAACCATCAGTTAATATTTTCCTTTCCTCTTCCATACTCAAGTATCTAAAATTCAAATGTAAAAGATAATGACACAGAAGGGTAAATGATAGTTTTCCTTACAGTTTTGTCTGGGTAAAGTTAGGTATACATTATGGAAATTGAAATATAAACTAAACCAAACAAAAGGGTACTAGAAGTGTTAAGAGACACTGAGAAGCATTAGAACCATCAGAGCACAGACTTGACGGGTAAAAGCGAAGAAAAAGGAATTGAATCAGTACTGAACACATACCTTTAGCTCTCAGGGGTTTGGTTGGCTGCCCCCTCCTGTCTCTCCCCTATGAATAATTGGTGTTCTCGTATGTTTGGGAATTGCCCCTGAAAATTACTGATTTCTCTCCACTGTCTTCATTCTAAATGTGCTTTTCGTTAAACTTTGAGTTACACATGTATCTGTTCAGGAACGCAAGGAAGAATTTAACAAAAGGTGTGAATTTAAAGTAGATTCACTGAATTGCCTTCCAGTTGCAATTTCAATTAATTCGGATTAACTTTCCCCAATAAATCCCAACAGACCAAGTGTAAATGTTCAGCGACTTTTATTAAGCAAGAATAACTTAAAACTGATAGCGTGTTGCTTGCAGCTTTAGAAATCATCATCACTTTAAGGCATTCTTCAAACGCATGAACATGGAAATTTTAATCCTAACCTAGAGCTCTTTAGTGCTATTACCTTAATTCACTTTCAAGGGAAACTAAGTTGAATCAAGTTCAAGCCTTTCTAGTTTTATTCTTATGCAAGGATTTAGCACAGTTCTAGTCACTTAAATTAAATTTCTTTCTCTCTGTGTAGACAAACCCTTGGGCCTTCTATCTTTCCAGCTCTGCAGTTTCCACACACTTGTGCATTCTCATTATTTCTGAAACATTTCATTGTCTTCTGTCATTATCAATAACACCACCATCCTCCCTTCCAGGGAATCGTTTATTGTTTTCCTCCAGCAAAGTCTGTCTCTGAAGTTCCACCTACTTTTTTGCATCAGTTTTAGAGGTTTGGAGTGTATTTTCCTAATTAGCTAGATCGCTTCATTGCAACATGGCCCTCCAAAGACTTGTTTCCTTCCCCCTTTGGTTATGTTATGCAAACTGGTGAGAAAGTTGGGATGGGGAGAGAAGTAGGTTCTCAATTTTAACTAAATTGCTACTAATTTTAAATTAGTTCTGCTAGAGAAGCTGTGCTAACCTGCAGGTGCCCTTTCTTTTCTCTTAAAAGTCATCCCCAAGTACAACTTCTGGATTTACTTTCTCTGCATTGCTAAAACATATCCCTGTCTTTCCATGGATAGTTCTAACACCTGTCCAAGCATGTTTCAACTTACGTATCGACCCCAATTTCTACTTGTTTTGTTTCTTACTTTTTAAATATATATTAGCTTCCTATCATTCGTATTTCTTGGTTCAGGGCTTGAAGTCACTCTGAGTTTAGAGTAAAAATCCCAAAGAACAGAATGTTACGCCTTCCAGGCTGCTGCCTCCTCCCATCCTCATCATTTGTTGCTGTTCTGCCTGTTTACCTCACACTTCTAATCTCTTTCTTGGGTCTGCTTCCTTCCCAAGATTACAGCTTGGCAAATGTTCTCTGTTCACGAAGCATGTTCCCCATTAATAAGTGATGCCAGCCTCTCTCTCTTTCCTTCACAAAACACCACCATTTATTCCCTGAACAATTCTAGCTATAATTACCTAATTACCAGCATGTATAACATACCATTTAGTGCTCTTTCATGTCCTGGGCTTGCTTATGTCTCTAGAGCACTGATTTGGGAATATTACAGTGTAGACTCTGCCATGTACCACATGGTGCTCCATGCATTTATTAGGCTAAACAAATAATAATTTTGCTCATTTATATTGGCAGTACACTTGTGAACATGTACAACTTGTATCTGGTTAGCTTGTCCTGTGGCAGAAGCTCTAACTCTTGTGTTTTGCACATTTTGGTTGCCAGTGCTCACGGCTCTGGCTAACACAGTGGAGAACCAGCAGCTCAGGAATGTGTTTTAACTGAGAATCTAAACTGTGCGTTCATAGTGCTTAAAAATAACTTGAGCAGTATTTCATGGCAACCTTTTAGGGTTGGAATTAGTGTTGCTTTTGGACTTGTCTTATTAGTGGGAAAGGAGCAAACGCTGCCAACTTCCATGTAGGAAGTTTACAATTCTGTGGGCCAACCTGAATGCAGGTAGCAAGGGTACGTTTATTAATGATTCCCTTTCTTGCATCTGCATTGTGTCTCCCATATCGTAAAAAGGACTTTTTTTTCCCTCCAAAAATGAAATTGATGTTTTTCTATCCCCAGTAGCGCTCAAAGATAAAATACAACATGAAATTACTGTTTTCTAAAACCACTTGTTTAGTTTTTGGTCATGGTGGTCTATGTTCACAAAAGATTACAGTCATTTTGAAAGATCTTATTTAAACAAATACCCTGGTACAGGGTTCTTATGTATTGGAAAAGAGCTTTTTCTTTTGGGAGAGTCCTAATTTGTAACATGACTAATTTTTAACTGAAAGATTATACATGGGACTGAAGAATTAGTACCTTTTAGCCAACTTCAGTTTTCCCACTTGTTGCATTAGGAGAGAGCAGTATTTAAGGGAGCAATTAGAAATGTAGAAGTAAAACATTTAAAAGACCAGTCTTGAAGAATGTGAATTGCGGGGGGGTAAAATGCGGTACTTAAATAGATGAGATTTGAAGTTGATATTTTTCCTTTTGGGAAAAAGAAGGCAGTTTATTTCTATGTAATAGTATTTATGTATGTTACAAGCTGCTGTTAAAGCATCTTGAGCTAAATTTTACATTATTTCTCTCTCTCTCTCTAGGGTATACCCATGGCTCAGAGGTCTAGGCTATACATCTTTAACTGTATTTTTAATGGGATTTTTTCTCTGGAATGTGGACAACATTTTCTGTGATAAATTGAGGTGAGTTTTTTTCCACTTTGTCTGGATAGCTCTTAATAGACTTCTAGCATAAAGCTTTGTATTTTCTGTGGTGTATGTTCAAGTCCATCTCATGGTATGTGTTGTACACTGCCTACAGAAGATTCATGAGGGTATTATCCAGTTTGGTCATGACTGTAGATTCAACAGTCAACAGGTTTTTATTTTAACTTCTTTTTTTCCACGAATAGATTTATTTTTTAAAATAATTGATATTCCTCTTTAACTTCAATTTAAATTGAGAGAAACTAATGTCACTGAAGTAATTTTGAGGATCTGTAGCTCACTAAAGCCTGCTATTCACAGTTGATTTCATCTGAATGAGTTTTTTATCCTGCTTTTATTTTGTTGTTTCTACTCTTGCTGTTTCCCAGGAAAATATCAAAAGTAATAGTTTTGCAGGTTAAAGAAATATATGTTGCAATATATCTGTCACCAATAAAAAATAGCTGTTTGACTGTCTCAGAAAGAAGGGAGCCAATATGCTGTGCTTGGCTGTCATAGTCTGAGGCCTTCTGGTTTAGCACTGGCAGAGGAGGCCAGGAGTGGCTTCCTCTCTGTTTAGCATATTGCCAGATGGAGTACAAAAGGCCTCTAGACAAAGCTTGTAGGAGCCCACCATCTTGTCATGTGGCTAGATATCCTGTCTGTGCAAGAAAACACCAGCCCAACACGTCATTCTCTTGACATGTGATCCTCTGGAACTGGACAGCTGCATCATGGCACCTTTCTTTCACTTTGTCGTGATGCTTGTGTTTCACCACAAGCTGGAGAAGATGGAAAGGTTGATGCCAGCACCCAGAAAATCCGTTCTGGACTATCTGATACACTGTTATGTTGCTGAATCTGTGGTGTACAGAATTGTCCTCGTGGGTTGCTTTGTCGGGGTCAGATCACAGTGTCCTGTAAATAAAGTCTGGTGGTTTCCATCTGTCTTTTTTGGCTCTCTAGTCCCTGCACTAGATTAGGCCAATTGAAAGTTCTCTTGAAACTTTTTAAAAAAAAAATACAGGTGTACTGAATATAATACATGGTGCCTCATCCCTAGAAACACTTGATACAGATAGGATAGAAAAGTTATTTGCCAACACAAGTGGGTTGGGTATACAGTGACTTTTCAAATATTGGCATCAGGGTTGATTTTTGCAGCTGCATCACATCACTGGTGAGATCATAACCCACAATTCACCAAGCCTGCTGAGCTGCTGCAGGTCCATGGGGCTTTTGAACTTGTTCCTAGACAAAGATTACACCAGCTGCTTAAGCGTTTTTTTCCATCCTCATTTTGTAAGGGGAAAAAGATGTTACCATGTTTCCTGTAATACTTGTTTGGTTATGGTGCTGGAAAAAAATAAATACGCTTGTTTATTAGCTTTAACCAGATGTCTGCAGAGCCTTTCATTTCTCTAGGTGGTGTTAGAACTTGAACCTTTGGAGAAAATACATTCCAGTTCCTTATAATGTTTTATCCTCTAAAGATCTAACTTGTGAATCATCCACCTACCAGCTCTTTTTGGTTTTAATGCTCAGAATTGGATTTTGATTCAGGTTTTGCTTTTCCATATTTCATTCAATCTGGAGATTATTTAAAAAAAAAAAAAAAAAATCTGTAGCACTCAAATTCCCTGGTTGGATCCATGTACTTTTGAACTTGAGCTTTGAGATTTCCTGCCATCCAAAGACTCGGAGGCTGTGCTGGGGTGACTGTATGTGTGTTCTACTATGTCATGCCTGGGCTGACTGAATCAAAGTTGTGGTTTTATTTCTGTGACTGAACAGCTCTGGAAACCAAGCAGTAGCTCAGGGATTAGCATTTAGTCAGGGGGACTGATCACTATAACATCAAGTAGTAAATCAGTATTAGCGAAGCAGCAGATTTTTCTTCCTTAATACCTTCAGTCCTTGTTTTCCTTTTTTTGTTTTGACTGAATATGAAATGAAAGTCAAAAAAGAAGACAGGCAGATGCAAACATTTGCTCCACCATCAACCAAAATAAGCATTTATCTGCAGAGGCCTAGTGAGCAGGGGAAATGGGGTCAACGTAGTTCCTTCCCTTTCTTTCTCTATCTCCATCCCTTAGCCTCTTCCCAAGTAACTCTCACCCCATGACCATGCAAAATACAAAGCATTTTCATGGAGTATTTTCACACCTTCTGTTTTCATTGCTTCCTCACTAAAGAGCCATTTTGTCCCTGGTTTAGAATGCAACAGAGAAAGGCAAGCTAAGCTTCCATGGAGCTGGAGAATAGATGGAGTCAATGCCAAATGTAAAGTGATAATAATGACTGATCGATGCCATTTCTTCTCTCAGACATTAAACTCAGCATTTCATCTGATGGACAGTAGTTCACAGAGTTTTAGGGAGGAGAATGGTAGAACTCATTTGGGACTGTGGGATGCCATAAATGTATGGCCTGAAATTTGAATCCAGAAGTAAAATTTGAAACCGGATCACTCAAGAAGAGTGATCACTGAAGAAGTGTGTGCTTTCTTTAAGTGTGTAAGAAAGACAGTTTGTTAAATATCTGTCTGTGCTGGCAGTATAAGGTGTAACTGCTGTTCCTCACCTGCTGAAAGCATGACTACGTAAAGCTTCACTTATGAAGGACATGCCTGAGATACAAAAACAGTAACGTGTGATCTGACAATCAAGCACTCCATTTGAGGTTGCTTAGCTTGAAAAAAACAAAAGAAACAAACAAACAAAAAAAAAATTAAAAAAAAAAAAAAAAGAACAAACAAAAAAAAACATTGCATGGTGTATCTTTCTTACAGAGCACTACGAGAGAAAATGCCTCCTGTTGTGGGAGCTGTGACACAGTTTCATGCATGGTGGCATATCCTCACAGGCCTGGGCTCTTACCTTCATATCCTGCTAAGGTAGGAAATGTTTTCTAAACTGGATGTTCATAAAGAAAGTTTAGGAGTTTTCCCAGGTTCAGATTTACTTAAAAATGTTGTATTGTCTAGAAGAGCAGGGAAATTACTACTTATTAAACTGGTGGGAGTTTTTCTTTCCTCCTTGCAACTGGTCTAAAAACTATCTAAAAGTAATTTTTGTTCTGCAAAATTTAATTGTTACTCTTTAAATAGTCGCGGTTCTTACAGGAAAATGCAAATCAGAAATGGGAACCCCACAGCAGTTAAACTTCAAAGCTATTTGACAGTATATTAATTTCAAAATGTAAACTATTAATACCTTTCTGTTCTTAAGCAGCAATCCTGAAGTACTTAAACATGTTTAATTTTAGAAGCATAACTAATCTTTTTGATAGGCACTGTCACTCCTGAAAACTAACAGGCGTCATGCTACGGAGCAGAAGGGTGATGGCTGAAGTGGTTGGAGCAGAGCTGTTCTAAGATATGCAGGGTATTAGTTTTAGAAGGAGACTTAAATGAGAGCCTAAATTAGCAAATCTGCAGCCAGCAGATTTTTGTCTCTGTTTTTGCTCTATACCACCATCTAGTGGAACCAGAAACAAAACCAGAATTTAAGCTGGAATCTGAAGCATTTCTGTAGTTTGTTCATTATGTAATGAAATAAAGTCTTACCGCTTAACCATTAGAGAATGTTTAACGGATAGATAGGTTGAGAAAACTTGATTGCATATCAGTTTTGGTACATCTAACCCAGTATGCTCCTTTTGACAGATGTTAAAATAGCTAGTAAAAGGAAAATGCAAGGAAATAAGTACATTTCCAGTCGCTATTCTGATAACTTTTTAACATATAGACTTACATGCATTCATGTATACGTGGATATGTATCTACATATGTGTGTATATATGTATGTGTACATGTAATATATGTCATGGTGTTTGGAAAACAGCTGCTCCATTTTGGCTGACAGGTTATCTGCTGCCCTAAACAGCTTGAGATAATCTTTTGAAGAGAATTCCTTACAGAAAGCAAACTGATGAAGACAGTTTGGATAGCATAGGCAAGGTTTTTCCAGCATGCTGCAGAGAGAAAATAATTTGGGTTTTCATCCTCTAGCCCTTGGGAAATGTGCAGATGACTAATTTGTCTGTCCTACCCCAATGAACTACATGCTTTCCCTGCAGTGGTTTCCCTAGTATTTTTTTCTCAGCCACGAAGTGGCACCACCTGTGTCTGTTTAAAAAAGTGGGGTCGTACACAGGAAAACATCTACTGAAGGGCAAGTGTGTATAAGAACGAAAATGAGATACAGAATCAAGCTATGATGCTTCCCTACCCCCCCTTAACATCTGCTATATTTTGTGGTACACTAATTTAATTTCATCCTTCCAAAATGACAGGCTTTAGTCTTTTCCACAGTGGAGAGAGAATTTGCTTCTCTGGGTTTCTCTCTTTCTCCCCACATAAGCGATAGGGCTAGATTAGTTTCCTAATCATAGTCTAGGACAGAAAGATTTACTGTAGTTTAGTGTCTCCTATTTTGTGTAAATCTAGGCAGAATGAGTAGCTCTGCAATCACAGAAGCAATTCTTTTCTAGTTGGAAAATAAAACTGGGATTAGTACATCATTGTTATTTTATGTGCTGTCTTATACATGAAATTATAAGCACAATTTTTTTCCTTTTCTTCAGTTTATATACAAGGACACTTTTCTTGAAACACAGGCCAAAGGTGAAGGTAAGCAAGCAATATTTTGTGTCCATTAATGCACTGCAGCATTCGGATATCTCACGCTTTGAACTTGCATTGGGCCTCACTGATGAGGCCTATTAGGGTACTACCTTTGATTTGTGTTTACAACCAAGAAATGCAGTTGAAATGATGCTTAACAGTGTTTGGTTTCTGTTCCAAGAAACATAATATTCCAGGAATTTTTTTCCCCTCTTCCTGTTTTTCTTTTGACAGTTTGTTTTTGGAATATGGCCTATTCTTCTTGTGGAGCCGCCCAAGAAGCTTTGACTGAGACCTAGGCAGTCCCATGCGATCACCTAGCCTGTTTGAATAAAGTGATTCAACAGTTACTATGGCTGAAGTGTCAAAACTATGATCAATTCAAGTACCATTGCTATAAAAGGACTTCTCTGTGTTACTACGCCAACCAGCCAGAACAGAGCAAAGAGTTGGCACACTAGGGAAATGTTTAGTACAGCTTTATTCTAAGTTGTTAAAACAAAGATTAAGACACAATATTTTTATGTATATATTGTATAGCTGATGATACTGAGCTAATATTTCGTGCTGGTCACAGAAAACTAACCATTTTTGAAGTGGATTGCATACGTTTTTCATTCGGTTGTCGTTCTTTCTGTGGTTTAAACTAATATTAGTAACTGAATGACAAAAACAGGCCATTGATGGCCAAGCTAAGCATTTGTGTGGCCTATAGTGAACTGAATGCTTAACCTGAACTACTTTCATCTTGCACTTTTATACAAGTAGTGAAGTATGTAATGATTTGTTTAGGACTTTATTCTATCTTGCTTTTCCACAGCCTCCTTTCCAATTTATATTTTAAGCAAAACGGTTGGGATACCTGTGCCATTTAGTTCATTTTGAACCGAACTTCCATTTTCTCTTTAGTCCAACTGAGGTACATCATGGAGGATGTTCCAGGGTGTGACCAGCAGAAGACACTTAAGATGGTGAAGAAAGGGGTTTTTGTTTGTGTGTGGAAACTGAATTCCTACTTTGTTTGGCCAGTGATCCATCGGGAGACTGCAGGGTGACTGCATAAACACAAGAATCACTTTTTAAATTTTTTATAATCATTATTTACATGTCTCCCTTTTTTATCCCTACTTTTTACTCCCCATGTCCCATTTATACTACAGATCAACAGACACCTTAGACGTGTGCTAGTTCAGCTTTGAATTCATTTCTTACCCTTATTTTACAAGTCTTAAATATTGGTCTGACTTTCAGAAGCATCTTGCTATTCAGAAATATTGAAGAAAGAGCAAAGAACAAGATTGATGTTGAGGATACCCCAAAATATAAGTGGCAGCACTTTGATTGCTCTTAATCTGTCCATCACACGGTTACTCTGGAAAGTTGACTACCTTTTCAAAACCAAACTTTGGGGTTAATGAAGGGGAAAAGTCCTCTGGTTTCTGCAATCTTTATCTACCCAGCTGATGAAAGTTAATAAGTAATCATAAAGAAAACATCGAACTAACAGTTTTTCAAAATATACCTCATATTGGAGGCTGTGGTTTTGACTCTTCAAATCATGGGGCAACTAAACGGAGTCTGTCTCTGGGCCTCCTAGCTGCCATGCTATGCAATTTTTACCTGCTTTTGATGCTCTGAGGGATTTGTCCTTCTTGCCATGAAGGAAAAAAGGGAAATGCTCAGGCTGGCTGGAAATCCTATTCTATATTGATTTGAAACGTGTCCATGGCAGCAGGGCACGGTAGTATAGCTATAAAGCTGTCTCCCAGATCACAAAGTCCTGGCTATTGTATAATCAGCACTGACTAAAATGGTCTTCTCCCTTTAATGTCCTTTTTTCCTATTTGCAGATTAGCTGCGTCTTGTGTCCGTCAGTAGCACTCCTACTGATGAGAATCTCCAAATAAATTCGTGGCTTTAGTTATGTGACTGACTGACTCACTCTTGGGATAAAATAGACCCAAACTTGGGGCTGGAAAAAGATACTTAACCTTGAGCAACTTCAGTGAGGTTTAAGCACGTGCTGACAGCAGTGCATTTCAACCTGTAAACGACTGTAAAGACTCCTGAATTGTAATTTCAGAAGAAATTTGTTGTCAGTAGATTCCAGTTCCACAGACAAGGTCAGCATCTATGTTGGGAAATTCGTGTGATCTTCAGGCTGAAAGAGATTAAAATAACTAGCATAGAGGTAGGAAAATGCCATCTTGGAACAAATGTCTTTATCCAGAAGGCGTATTTTTTTGTAAAGAGATTTCAGAACTATTTTAAAAATGTAGCTTAAAAATAAGTGCCTGCCTCTTCACCTCCAGGCTCTCTCAAGCATGCTTCTGCACACTGTAACTGATTTTCTTATTTAGTACGTTTACGTGTTTTCATAAATTAGGGAGAGAGTCCCTTAATAGGAGCAGTGCAGCAACAAGACACGTCAGCAGTCACTTGTGACATCTGCTAGGTATGGTATTATTTTTAAGAAGGTGAACAAAACCTTTATTTTGGTGGCCTTCATTTTGTTACTGGAGGATCTGGGGGCTCTGTTTGGTTTCCCTGTAATTGCAGGAACCAGAACGTGCTGAAAAGCCACTTTTTTTTTAATTGATAAGGCATCTCTACGGTGATATATTCTAAAGAAATTTGTGGATTCTTCTACACATTTGCAGCTAGTAAATATTTTTTTTTTCGATCTTGTTGAATTAAACTGTCAGGATTTAAAAAGCAAAGTCAGAAAAGCTCTTGTTTTAATGTTATGCTGCTGTTAGCTTTTCATTCATATATCATTTGTCACTGACGTTTTTATCTTTAAAAAAAATTATACAAATTGGCTTCTTCCTTTATTCCAGGGGTGACCAAAACATGCACACTTCTACCACCCTTACAGCAGCCTTTCCTTCAGGTTATGTAAGACCCTAAAGAATGTAATTTAAATGTATATTCTTCTAAGCATAAATAATCTGAAATCGTGGGTGCTTTGGTTTGACTGCCTTGTCTTGTGAGTGATATTGCAAATGGCAAGCCAGTTTTAACTGCATGTCACTGAAATTCAGACTGCCTTTTCCAGTGCCTGGAAAGACGTACATCCTTACTCCTGTAATGTGTTAAATGTCTGTTAAATTGCTTTTTATTTGTAACACTTGTAAAACATGCTGATTGTTTTTTTTTTCTACAAACCTTAGAGCAGCATATCCCAAACTTTTCTTGCACTACATCTTACAAGGTGGGTCATCTTTGATCCTATTTTTCAAGTAGGATTCAGACAGCAGCTACTTTAAAGGGAATTATGGAAGTAGCAGGTGTCATTTAAAATCAATCCTACAGGATGCGTTGGATGACCCGATAGCAATGAACTATTATTCTTTAACATCCATGAGGAACCAGGGAATCTGCCTTACAACCACCGGCTTGACACAGATCAGCAGCAAGTAGTTCTGCAGACTTGAGTTGAAAAATTCTTCCTTGGAAATAAGAGAAAAACCTCAAAATTACTCTCCCAGTGTGGATCAACACCATACCTTATGCCAGGAATCTAGATCTTTGCTGGATACAGCTCAAGACGTGCATTATCCAGAACTGAAGACAGGACACGATAAATAAATCTGCCATCTGGAGGAATCTCACCCATGTTTCGAAGGCAGTGTTGTTGGCTAGCAGTATTAGTCATCTCCGAACTTTATTCTACTGCTTTTTCTTTTAGCACAGGGAAGGTGTGCTACCTGCAAGTGTTTGGAAGAGTACCCCATAGTCACAGTTGGAATATGCAGTCTATCACTTGCCGATCTACCTCTGTCGTGTATTGTACAATACCTGTGCCCTTAATTATACCTGCCTGAATGTGCAGAAGGTAGAGCAGCCTCACCTGGACCGTGCAGCCCCTGAGGTTGGCAACAGTATCGTACTGATCCGTGGCTGACTCTGTTCACTGTGTGTAAACAGCCTGACTTGTTTGGTCTCTGTCACTTTTAGGTTGTGCTCGGTCTGGTGTTCATCTGCGTGCAGAAGTCCAGCTGCTTTAGAAAGAGAGATAAGTAGGAGGACTTAAATTCAGACAGCTGAAATGAAACCTTTTTGGCAGTTAAGTTACATTTAAAGCTAAGATGCAAACGGCATAGCTCATTTTACATGATTTTGGAAGAGATGGGATGGAAAATAGTTTTATAATTATTTCTAATTCTCTTTTCATTAAATACTATGCTGTCTTGTTTGGCTGAAGGGAAATTGTATGATTTGAAATGCAGTTGATTCTTGTGGCTGTAGTGCATTTGTTTCCAACACCTGATTTAGAACAAGAGAGTGAGGTTTTCAGCTAACTCCTCCATGTGAAACTCTCAGCAACAGAAAATCCTCCTTGTATCAGACTGTTTCTCACAGTCATTACCGCCTTGTTTAGTCTGCATTCAAGAATTTTTGGGAATGCTGGGGTGTTTTTTTTTTTTAAAAAAAACAACCTGTTTCTGTGGATATGTCTTTGGCATTTGATAGCAGGGGGTGAAACAATTCAATATACTACTTCTCAGTGGAAGACGAGGTCTAACAAAACAGCGCTGCTGTTTTCTTCAGTAGACCTCAGAATCCAGGAACACACCTTAACTTCGGCAGACTGTGTGCCCCATAATTTAAATTAACATATTCAGGTAAAACAGTTTACTTTAAAGAAACCCCATTTACACTGTAGTGGTAGGTGGTGGGAGGCTGTAACTGCAAAGCACTGTTTAACTGTGAGACTTAGTATGAAAAGGGATAAATGATGGAGTCTTTATTACCCATGAGAAGTGAAGGCCAGAAGGAGATTAAGAAATCTTACATGGAAAGAGAATAACAAAAGATTAAGCACAAAATCCCATAGTATTACGTCAACCACCCTCCTGATAACTGCACTTTAAATACTTATGTAACAAGCTTGAATGTTTTGCTATTTATACATTTAACTTTCCCTGCTGACTCTTCGCTCTTTGCCATAGAAGTGGTGTAGACTCTGTTATATTCAGTTCATTGTAGATTATTCAGCTGTTTTGGTTTTTTTTTATGAGGATGGAACATCACAGATTGTTTTGTACATGAATGAACACATTTCTTGCCCATCTGGAACGTCCTCTGCCAGCTTTGTTTGAGAGTCCGTAACGTAACTATAGAGAACGTGCTGTATAACTGTTAAGATTGGGTTTGGATTTCTGTGTTGTTTCTCGCTCACGACTGCCTATGACTGCCAAGTGCCTGATCTCTCTGTCACAAGTCTTTTCTGAAAGCTGAGGCGGTGTTTTCTACTGGAGGTCTGCAAGACAAGGTCCTTGGTAGATGGAGGGCATCAGTATGTTTGTGTTTTTTTGTTAAAAATCCTCCTATTGCAGAAGTCACAGCACTCTTTATAATCACTTTCCAGAAAGATAATTATCCAGTACGTGGCTCATACTTGAGCCTGACTACCCCACGTCCTTGATGCTGTTGCATCTTTTCAGATTTTGAAAGCTGGTTGAGGGATTTCGCCCGACAGCTGTTCATTTTAGCGTGTGTAATTCAGTGCCAGGCAGTGTGAGGGCGCAGCAGTCAAACAAGCACTTTATCCAGAGCCCCCTTACTGGAGCTGCCAGACAGATGTTCCCAACAGGACTGGGGATATGGGGATTCATATGTACAATTTTGGGGCCAGGGTTGATGCCCGAACCTCTTACTTTACTTCAGAACTCTCCCTTGTTAAAAGTGTTTAGATTTGATTAAGCACCTAATTGCAGATTTAAGAACCACCGAGTTCAGAATCCAGATAATGAAAGACCCTAAACCAGTGCCTGAAATTAATTTTTTTTTTTTGCACATAATTTCGCACAAGTTGAATCTGCCTGATGGTTACAGCAGATTGTTGAGAATTTAAAAATGCAAAGATAAAGGGTCTTTTATTATTCGTGCACAGGAATAGCTGTAAGCACAATCTCAGATTTACCCTTCTATCCCCAGAGCTCTGGAACATATATATATATGTTTCTCCAAAGCCAATGTTGAATAGAATGCGCTTTCACACATGTCCATAGCAAATCCTGTACCAAAATGTTTTCTAAATTGAAGCCTTGGTCATTCACTGCAGAAGAATTTTGGTTGTGTATCCTATTGCTGGCTGGATTTTAGAAGACTTTCAAGAGGCATAAGCAGTAGTTACTCCTTAGGCTGAACAGGAACTGATTTTTCTCTTGATCTTCCAAATTGATGTTGACTACTTGATGTTGACTGTTGAACTCAGCTTAATGCACTGATGATGTTTACTGTCTTAGCAAATAACATCTGTCCACCTGTAATGGACGTGAAATACCCCGCGTGTTATGTGACCAAACTTTCTGACACTATTAGTTCTAACATGGGCTTTTTTTCCTGAAATTCAGTATATTGTTGCAGGTAGATGATGACACTGTGACAGAAGAATAGCGGCTGACTTGTAAAACTCAGCTGCATTGAGCAATGTTTATTGACAATTTTGATATACTGAACTGATTCTTCATACCAAACCAGCTGGTAACTAACATTAAGCTTATATGTATCAGCATACCTTGTTTTGAAAAGCACAGTAGCTTTGAAATATGTAATGTATTTCATTTGTTATTCATGCTGCAGTCAAGCACTAATTTGTGTCTTTATAGTTCAAATTATTAAAGAATTTTGTTTTAAATACAACTTTTCCCACGTGTTTCTTGGCTTTTGTGTTGCGCAGGGCTGGCCGGTTCGTCTTGATGCTATTGAGAAGTGGGGTGGTGGTAAGTCTTGGCTGGTGGGTGCACATGTAGAACAGCAGGATTTGTGTGACCTGCACTGGTGGGGAAGCTGCCTGCCCACAGCTACGACAGCCCGAGTCCCTGCAGTTGTAGCACAGAACTTGGTCATCTTGGCTTCTCGCCTGCAGCCATCCAGCAAACACAAGAAACATTTTAAATTGGAGATGTGGTTGCATTCATTTTGAACTCCAGTGCGAGGCCGCTGGGGTTCCCCAGTCTTTACTGCTTAGTGCTGGGGCCCTTTGAGCACTGGACCTTGCTTGGGGGTATAGTGCAGGATCTTCTCACCTTCAGAGGCCTTTCCCAGTACACACCAGTTAGAAGGGAATTCAGGTGCCAGTACACACGAGTGGGAGAGGAAAAGGCAGGAGTAGAGTGAATGTGCTGTCAGCTTAGAGCGTGCAGTTCGCACGCCCTTTGCCTCATCCTCCTCTGGTTTTTTTTCAGTGAGAGAGAAGGATAATCACTGCAGGGCAGAATGTCTCCAGGCAGAAATCACAGACCAGTAGGCACTTACCCAGCAAGACTCACCACACCCCAGCAGCCAGGGTCAGGTAGCGACCATCAGCTATTTCCCCCACTTCTGGCAGCTCTTCCAGGTCCTACTCAGAGACTTCCCTGCTCGTGTCTGCAGCTGTGCCTCTGCAGGGACATCCTTGAACTAAACATTCAAGGGCCAAACCACAGGGCAGGAAACCTCAAAACCAGTGGTGTAAATGTCGGGGGGAACCAGTGCCATCTCCCCTCGGTGCTTGCCTGGTGGTGCTACAAAGAGGCACATCCAAACTCTGCAGACGAGCACTGCCTGAATGCTGGGCTGGGTGAAATCCAGCTTTGCGTTTTGAGCTTGCGGCTAGCCTAGAACCGAGTAATACTTCGAAATTTCCCTGGGGATAAAAACATTGTGGTTCTGTCGAAGACCGCCTCCCAACCAGAAAATTAAATTTTGAACTTGACAATTCCCTTCAAGACTGCCAGTTTACTGGCAGCTTTATTAATTTCCCGTTCCCTCTTTCCCCTCCACTACTCCCCTGTTGTTTTTTTCTTTAACCTGTTCAAAGGCTAAAACTGAAGCTATATATTTGCAACGCTTTAATCCTGATGGCTCTAACCAGAGACCTGGCTGTGCTTGGTTCTGGACCCACAATGGGGATAGTTGCTACCAGTTTGACAGAGGAGCTGGTAATCCAGCCTGGACCTTCAGTGCTATGTGCATGGAGGTAACAGAGTCACAGAGCTGTGATGGATTTGTCTCCTCTGTGGGTCAGTGGGTGACTCTGTACCTCAAGCAGCCCAAGTGATCTTGGCTTGGCTCTTACCCAGAGGCACCAAGCACTCAACATGCTTGTGTTATCTCCTGGCCTTACGGAAAACAAGACGAACTGGCTGGAGGTGAGATCGGTGATTTGGCATTACCCGGGAGAGCTCTGTGTCCTGGGAGAACATCTTCAGGGCCATCTGCCCCATCTCTGCCTCCCCAAACAACCCCTTCTCCAACAACTCAGGGCAAACTTGGGTTGCCTGAAGGGGTAGGTCCAACACCAGACTGGGGTTCAGCAGGGCTCCTCTGATGGGTCCCTGTGGGGACAGGACAGACAGACAGACAACACCACGGTTGTGCTGGTGTGGGAGGAAGGATCAACAGAGGCAAGGCAAGGACAAGTGTCTGGATTCAGCCTCAGTCGCCTGAGAACCTGAGAGGGAATAATGTTGTGAGACCTGAATCTCAGGAGGTGCCCTGCACCCCAAGCAGAGACAGAGCTGGGGTGACGTCCTCGTTCACCTTGGGCATGTGAGGGACCTTGTGTCTGCCAACACAGAACTAACGTGTGGAGATGCGTGATGCATAAAACATCCCAACCTACAAGGAGAAACTCCACGGACTTCCTTGAGACCTATTTTGCAATCAATATAGTTAATTCAGCATCCTGGCTCCTAAATTCCTTACCAAGGTAAGATATCCCCAAGCTGAGTGGACCGTGCACCCACAGCACAGCACCCAGCGACACCTTGAGGCATCGAGGGCTCTGACTCAGTGATTTCTCATCGCTGGGATCAGGTAGGTGAATGCTTATAAATAGCAGTTCACATAATCCCCTGAAAATTGAATTAATGGAGTTACTCTGCTGATGTAAACTGATGTCAAACCCCTAATATTTATAGGCTGACCAAACATCAGAGCTGTGATTTATGTGGATGTCTAACCTTAGCATTGCTTCTTCCTCATAGCTGGCTTGTTGACTCACTGCTGAACAGTGGAACAGAGTAAATCTGTTAAAATACTGCAGTGTTGTAGAAGCCTGGGGACAGGTCCAACTTCTTCTCCTCAGGTGAGAGAAGTGATGAACAAACAGGACAACCAAATCCACTCTGCACCCAGGCAAACCTGTCCAGGCACTTGTGAGTCATTGCTTAACAAGATTTTGTTCTTTTGGAGTCCTCCAAGGGGTTTGTTGGGGGTTTTTTTATCTTTTTTTTTTTTCTTCTATTTGTTTGCTTTTTTTCTTTAATCTTGTTTTCAACATCCCACCTTGGCTGGAATGAAAACAAGATTAAGTGCAAGTTACAAGATGAAAATGAGCAACGAGCTTGCCAGCAACAGTGTCAAAGCAGAGCTGTTACAGAAGGGATATTTTTATACAGGTTATCTGAAAAGCAAACAAACTTCAGCTGTGTTT